TGTACGGCAGTGAAGCATCGGTGTTGAGCACTGATGTCATGCTGTCGATGATGATGATGATGATGATGATGATGATGATGATGATGATGATGATGATGATGATGATTTCGTAACTGGAAGCGTAGCTCTTCGTTTGTAATTTCTATGCCTCCGAAACTCTAGTCGCTGGGGCGGGGGCGACAGATCTCGTATGGTTAGGGATCTCAGTGGATTTCTTTGACACATCTACAGCAACCACTTTTGTCCTTCTCGGTCGCGGTATCCTTTCTAGGTATGCCAGTGAATTCGTCTAAAATAATAAAGTAATCGTTCAGCTGTAACTTTCTTCCTGTGTCTAGCTGCCATGGCACCTGGAGGAAGCACGAGTGCTGGGATACTGCCAGGTCGCCCAGGCCTAGACAGGGCAAGTCGAGTGGCAGAAGTCGGGTTCGAACCACGGACCTTCCGGTCAGTAAATTCGTGCTCTAACCACTTGAGCCATCTCGCCCTTAACTCGCTAGATGAGTGAACTCGTCTGGAATGTCCCGGAGGTATTCAATGCTTGATGCTTGATGGAAGGTGACATGGTGTATACCTGGGTCCCACTAGTTTGATCCACTGTTTAAGTCAAGGCCACAGACCGAGCTAAGCATCCCCAATCGATACACACTATATATGTACCGTAAAGTTCCCACCAGACAGTACCACTCATCAGCTGTCGGGACAAGTGCCACAAGCCAACGGCTTCCGGTTCAGTTAACAGCCACAGTATCGTGGTACTGTATCACAAATAGTCCTCCTAAACTCGGAACCGAAACCGCTTCTTCTAGGAAAAATAAGATTCGTGTCACACTGACCTGCGTAGCCTCCGTCCAACCGAAGACAGTCAGTCATTTTCTCTTGGTCTTGCGTGATTTCATGTCAAGTGGACTTTCTGTAAAGCGATACAGCTGGATAATTCAGAAAGCCTTTTCAGGTCCTGACATTAATTGAAATCAACGTCAGGATGTGACCTAACGAGTATCAGATTGTACTTAATGGGTACAGCATACTGAGTTATTTCGAGTCTCTTGATCGTGTTCGTTACCGTCGGAGATGCTTTAAATTTCCATGTTGACTTTTTTGGTTGCTAGTCTGTGTGATATTGCGCCAGAAATTTCGCTTTCTGACAGATTATGAATCTGGACTTGCTGATTTTGGCGCCAGTGTGGTTTTTGCACACATAAACGAGGGTTTGACAAGTGTGTGTATACTAGGATGCCGGCGATCTTGCTGATTTTGTTTATATTTGACGTCACAAATGAGAGGAGGACAAATACAGTCAAATATATATTATCACAATGATATTGTGACCTGACTGGCAATGATGTGACTGAAATGGAACGACAGACCGCCAGCACGCTCATGTGCGTTGAACCCGTTAACGTACAGAATGATTGTCATTTTTTTTATTCCGGGCTTCACTGCCCATGGAGTTCTCAAGGGGCTTAATCAACTCTCGGTAGTAAAAATAATAATAACCATTCCGCTGTAACACCCTTTCGGTTCACAGCTGCTACATCACCCGAAGGAAGCACCTGGGCTGGGATATTGCTAGCTTGTCCAAGCCTAGACAGGAGTAGTCAAAATGTAGAGTTTGGGTTCGAACTACAGACCTTTCGCCTCAGCCACTGAGCTGTCCAGGGCTCCAATCTCTTTTCTCATGGCAAGTAGAGGCTCAAAACAGAATAAAATTAGGTGTGTAATTATTGAAGATAGCAATTTTGACTCAGGTTGCATTGATAGCTGTTGATTTGTTCGCTGAGCTGTTTCCAAACTTATCTTTACCAGTATAGTTAGCATCATCAATACCTTGTTAGTCGAACGTGTTGTGGATGAAAGTGCCTGAATTTTCATGCGCCCATTTGTAATCCCTATACTTCCTGCAAAACCGTGGTTGATTGTTGATAGCTTGAGCGAGCCTTCCTAATGGATGGTTGTTTGACCTGTCTCCTGATTGGCTAATGTCTTGATTACCTCTGGACGCACTGATGATGTCAACTCAGCGAACAGAACAATGGCCACCTATGGTTCTTGCCGGTAGCTGCATGTTTTGAATTTATAATCATTCTACCCTAAGGTACTTTGATACCCGAACAGCTACTGTAATTGAACTGAACAGCTGTGGATGACTTTCCCGTGTGTAAGTTTACGAATGTGTGAAGATCGTCTGACAGCTATAGGGGATGAGGAGCGGTAGGCGTCTGCGACCGTGTATCTACTGGGTAAAGATTTTGAGCTTGCTGTGTTGGGCGTTATGTGTAAGTGATGAGGATGATCGGTCCACGTAAGGCGTACCCTGTGGGGTTACTTGTTAACCTGGGTGTATTAGCTTAGTCCTGGTGATGTTTTAAACAGGTTCCCGTTGCTGGAATTATCGTTACCACCAATCCATTTACCGAGTGGTCCATAAGATTCATCTCTTTGGTTGTCCCAACGGTCACACCCTGCTAGGTGTTGAAACTAACTGCTTCTCTCAGCTTCCTGCTTTAGTCACTAGGATTTACCCGACACCTATTCAGCTCAGCTGACACAGATTTTAGTACCAGTGGTTGGCGTGTGGAGCGTCGTTCACAAGAGGTTGTCCGAGCAGCCGGTGTGACAGACATCTTTGGGACTTTATGTTAGCCGTGGGCTTTACGTGTACGTTTCTTCTGTGCAAATGGACCACAATAATACGAGCAGTTTCTACACCTGTTCAGCTGCAGATCGCCTGTTAGCAGGCAGAGATCTACAGGTGATCATAGTGATGATGTCCTGAAAAGGTTTAATAAACAGAGCAGCTCTACTGACATGTTTTCCTGACCAAACGACGGGGGGCAGAAATTAGAAAACAGCGTTGATGATCTGTGCAGTTCCACTTGAGGCGCGATCCATGCTTGCAAAGATATAAGGACCTTTTGTGTCTGACACTTTCAGGAACTTGAATCCTCAAACGGTCATCCGTCATCTAGCGGTTAGTCTTACAGGTCCGTATAACTGTTGCATTGTGGGTGGCCCTCTACGGGTTACGCCTGCACTGAGCCTGCCAGACTACGCGATAGGGAGAAGACAGAGAACTCGGGACACGGCTGTACTGCCAGGACAAAACATACAGAGCGTCTGCGTAATATATATAGGATGACTAAATCGTCAAATATGGTCCTTCACTTGTTCGCTCCGTATAGCCAATGGCGGTGTTCCGGTCGTGAACAGTCTCAGGCCCACTGCGCTGGTCGTATGTTGCCAAGCCGTGTTTGGTGAGCTCCGCCAACGCACCTGCTTTCTGGACGTGTCGTACCGATGGTGACCTTGAGGATGCGTCATTCTCTGCACATGTACTTATCCCATGTCTGGGTGCGTCCTGACAATAACTCATCGAAATGTAGTGTGGAAACATCCAAACGATTACAGGAATAATTTAGATTTTTCCGGCTACCTGTGAAACTCTAGGATTTTGGTAGCGAAACGAGTCTGGGGGAGGAAACCCCATTGAAAAAGTGTGAGAAGTCGCGGCTTTGGAATGCTATGTAGAGTTACCCTAAGTTCTGAAGCCGTGAGGAGGGAGCTTCATGATGCGTTCTTTTGGAGATTCAAGCAGACTGTAACGCGAAAGGTTTTCCTGTGTTCTTCGTCTTGAATTCCCAGTGCTCCTAACACCGTTGAACTAACTTGACCCACTGGCTGGCGAATGATTACTGTGCGGAAGGCATGTTTGCTTGGTGGAATTCCACTGATTATATTCAGCGTCATTCTCAGTTCGACAGCGTGGACTGAAAGCAATCGACAAGAAATATTTCGATACCGTGGTGACTCAATTTGCTTATCCATGCTGCTTACACTCAGTGTGGTAGTGCTGCTTTGTTGCAAAATGGAAAACTTAACGTGGATCGATTACGTAAAGTGATCGCTTCTGTACGGTGTTTCAGCGCCAGCGGATCGAATGACAGAAAACTTCTACCACCCTTTGATTTTTAAGCTCAAAGTGGAACGGTTTAAGAAAAAATGTGAAGTACAGTGTCGCGCAGGTTCTACGTTCTTACCATGCACACAGCTTGGCCGCACTGCAGGGGCACCTATGTAGAATGTCGTCATCATGTCCCAAATGCTCCTTTCATTTGTTCCAGTCGGACTGCAGACTGATTGGCCAGCATGTAATTTCTACTTCTCGCATGGGCTTACTCAGGCTAGGCTCTCCTGGGTATCATTATTGTCCCTTTCACCTAGGACATGTCTACGCTTGTCGTCCAAGATCGAAGTTTGGTACTCGGTGGGTATTTCGTTTGGATCGGTCTCATACACAAGACTACACGGAGTATATTATAAGCATTTTCATCGTTTACTGGATGTCCTGTTGAACGATTACTTCCGCCCGTGTGTTGATACCTTTCGAAGCATAGAATGCACTGTAGTTTGGGAAGAACGACCTTCTCGAATGTCACTGTATGTACGTAGTTCAACGTTTTTGGGGCGAGAGCTATGTTATCACCGATTTCGGATACCTTCCAGAAAGTTCGTAAGTTTGACTATGTTTCAATCCAGACTAGATATCCGCTTCCTCCAATGACTTGTCAAATGTTATAGTCGATCTGGACCCAATTTTTAGTAAGACTGGTGCTGTTAGTCCGGTTATCCTGGTTCTTATTCGCTCGCATTTCAGGTGTCCTGCTTTTTGATAACCCACTATTTCCCACGCGGTGCAGTTTGCGTTTTGTCTACTGTTTGCTCAGGATTTTCATCCGTAAGCTGCGACATAAGTCCACTGCCCCGGAGTGGTCGTGTACCAGTCACGCTGTATCAAGCCCACGATCATTTCGGGAGGCCACGAATGTTACATGATCGATATCACATATAGATAGCACGCTCTGATGTCTTGCTGTCCAGCATCATGATGACGATGCTGATGATGAGCATACTCTGTCTACACGTAGGGTTCTCTTGATTCAAACCACGCGCACTGAGTGGAACAACCATCCTCTCATTGGACGACACGTGCCCATTATCATAATCATTTCAGGATTTAATTTACCGACGATTTTGTTATGAAACTTGTAGACACGAGGTGTGGAGACTTGGGCTGAGTCATAAAGGCCCGTAAAAGCCTGAGCGTGTGCAATCAGTTCACTTTTGTGTCACGTGGTTTGTCCGAAAGAGTCAGCGCTATCGTTGTTTTCAATTCTAATGAAATAAACCGGTCGATTTTGTTTCTGCACAGACCAGTATCTGTCATCTTTTTGAAAATCACCCATTTGGCTTCATTTTTCTTTTCCCCAACTAGCTATCTTCGTGAGTGCTTAGGCGTCATGGATCACTTTGGGAAATCCATGAATGATCTAACCAATCGAGTTAGCCTACTACAAAAAGTCCACGATGCCCAGAAACGTCGTCTGATCGACACACGTGAAGAGGTTCGCATCTTGTTGGAAAAAGATGTAAGTTAAGATGCTTTTGATTGACTAGGTTGAATTCGGGGTCAGTATGGTGAACAGTGGTCAGTGTGTGAACCCTCATAACTATCTCATCTTTCCGGTCTGCTTCTTCAACAGCCCTCAACTACTAGTCGAAAGCCCCGTTTACTCGGTCAGGTAAACAAGGTTTAATGTTGTCTGTGTGGGTGAGGCGCAATTTGATAAGATTGATCTGTTTGAAACAATCGATTGCGCGTTTCCCTTCTATGTTGTGATCATCTGATGGTACTTTGCTTTGGGACATAACTGCTTACTTTGAGTTTGATTGTTCTGTAAATAGTTCGAATGTTATGGCCCTTCAGATTCACGTTCGGATCGGTAGCCGACCAGGGAAAGTCAAACGAATCCAGTGCAATCAAATTGATTGCTTTTTTTCGAAATCACTTTACTCCATTCTGTGGGGCTGTAACATTATGGAACAGCACCCACCCACGATTACTTTCTATAATCTGGGAATGAGTCCACACAGCTCTCGATGCATGGGTCTGCAGTAATTTTTCGAAAATGCGTAGACTATAAGCAGTCCGGATCGTCTGTGGTTAAATTAGACGTGTTCGGCAACTGGCGTTCCCCCCTTAGGTGGAAGCTTGCATACTGTTAAGCAGGATATAGCTTGCAACAATGTGCTCCGCGATTGTTTAATACCTCGAGACAATCTGGAGGTTAAATCAAAGGCTGTTGGTCGATTAGTCGTTGGAACCCACTAGCGGCTTTTCAGTTGTTTATGTGTAGTCCTTTGCCACCTGAAAGTACATTGGCATACTTGATTCACCTGGCAGATATGTCGTCGTTAGCCAGATGATTTTTAGAACGTGTTTTTCAGTCATTGCAACCGAAACCTGTTGACAGTGTGTCTTGGGTGCCTCTTTAAATGTGTATTGGAGGCTTAAGGTAGTCAGCTCAAACTGGAATCGTGCTAACATGATCTGTACAGAACAAGGACTGACTGGCTCGCGAAGAATGGAGGTTAAAATTTGGTTGTTGACCACTCTTTTCCGTACATCGCTCCAGTAAGTTTTCGTCAAATCGGTATCTAGATATTCCGGAGTTTCTCTGTCTGACACACACATATCAGACGTCAACCACTCGCATTCTGCGACCCAGTACGGTTTCAAGTTAGGTTTCGTAGAATTTCGGGCGTTCGGATTCCTGGTTGATTTATAATACAGCTGATCGCTGTGATGTTTCCATCATTGAATTCCCATGGCGTTCATTGTAGTTAGTCCGATGCGCTTCTGCGTACAGTCAACGAAAATCAGATGCATTTGTAACTAGTTTAGGCAAAAGGTTTTCTTGGCTGATCGTTACGGATTTCCGCACTTTTTCACATGTCCTGTACTTCATCTAGCCTAGTGGTGCTCCACTGTTGTAATCTAGGTTCGTGCTTGATGACCCTACCTGTTTTTTATTTCTTGGTGTGTCCCCACTCGTACAATTGATTACAGTCTTGTCGATAATATATCTTTCATTGTTCCTGTGCGCCTTTCCTTAATTGCTAACATCCTGTTGGCGTGTTTTATCAGAACAGGCATGCCATCCCTTGTGTAGTTGTTGTTATCTTTTGTCCGTCTGCCGGTGTTGTGGGGCGATTTCTTGTCGATTTTCGGTCGGTTGCTTTCTCCCCATTGTTCTTATCGGTTATTCATATCTGTCAACTTCATAGACGCATGATTCATCCACTCCCGTATCACTATACAGTTTTTGCTTTGCTATTTTACTGGAGTCTGCTTGCAGTTTTCCTTCGTCCCGCAAAACTGTCCCGAACACAAACTACATTACTTGCTCTACTCCGCACTGTTTTCAAAATTAATCCGTTCGGAAGATAGTGTTAAAACGCGTTCTAAGTCCAGTCGTTTGATGTATAAAGCTGCTGGTGACGAACGCATCCGTTTTTTCCCTAAACACTATCTTGTTTGACTTTTTTCGGAAAACATGCTCGCGTTCTCTGTTAGCCGAATTTAAGATCTGTTCACAAGACACTCCTTGTCATCCAACATTTCCGTTGACATCAATAGCTCAGCGCTTCCGGTATCGTTCCAATGGGAGTAAAATCGGTTGACATGTTCCCTTCTTGCCTAATTACAGACATCCCAGGCTGGAGTCACGTATGCTGCGCAACCAACACAAGTAAACCGTGCGTACGGGACAAAGAAGAGCGGATTTTTGTTGAAAAAGTCGGATGGAAAGGTACCGTCGTACCTACTCTGTTTGATCCCAACAAACTATACTCACCGTTATCCTTGATAAGAAGCTAATACTCTAATTTCGTGTAGAGTAATTACGGATTATTTACCGAAAATGTGCAGAGGGATAGTTTTACGGAACTCCAGTGCTTGGGAAACCGGAGGGGACTGAGATTTATATAGGGCTTCTCATGTACAAAGAGAAACTAGTTTCGTGGCTGATGTGGGTAGGTAGCGACATGATTTTCACAACTTCCGCTCCCCGAAAGGCAGGTGTCGACGTGGTTCAACGGTGAACGCGTGAAACTGCTGACCGGTTTGTAGCCAGTTCCATCTCTTGTAATTGCTCCTGGCAGTGTCTCCGTCATGATGCTTCCTTCGAGTTGAATGGCAGTTATGCACTGAAAAGATGTCACAATATTGTTCTTATTGAGAACAATGCTGGCGACTGCTTGTGCAAAACTGATCTTTAGTTCGCTCACTGAGCTTACTAGGTTTGTCGCGAGTCTCAACCCAAGTGAATTCATCAAGCCTGAGAGAGCTCAGTGGTTGAGGCACGAACCTACTGACCGAAAGGCTTGTGGTTCGAAGCCAATCCCATTATTTTGACAGCTTCTGTCTAGATTTTGGCAACCCAGTAGTATTTCAGCTCTGGTGCTTGATCGCTTCAGCTGACATGATAGGTTGCCACCGAAAGGGTGTTATAGCTGAACGATTTTTACGATATTTGTGGCTGATGAGTTGTCATCCTCGTTAGTGTTGAGCACAGTGCACTCGACGTTATTCAACAAGAAACACCGGTTCGGCGATGTTTCACTCCACATTCGTTATAATTACAACTTTCCTCAAGACTTGAGTGACTGTCCTATGCCACTGTTTTGTACATATGGATTGGTTCGAGTTTCCATGCTTTCTTCATATGTTTTTGATGCCTAAGTAAAACTGAATCTTACGCTGGACCCTTCTGATGTGCACATTTCAGCACAGTAAGTTTTCGCTTCACTTTCTAAGGATTTCATTAACCCCTGGGATTACCCAATGAATTACATGGAACGCTCCAGTGTGCCAGTAAACGTACATCCATGATCTGTTAAACGATGATAAAGATTAACACTTGGTCTCTTTTATAGCCGACTTGGATAGTTCATCCAAACACCTTGAAGGCCCGTTACAAAAACTCACTAGAACCGCAAACTGTTGTCCAAAGGGAAACCTGTGTGCTTCTTTCCCTGTGGCCACCGTAGCCATATTCGTACGAGCGGCATTCTGCTTAATGGCTTCAGCTTACATCTGCCTGAAAAACAATTCATCGTCAGCCTGTTGCGCATTGCTGAGCGTGAAACATGTACACTTGAGGAACACGGGGGGATATTGTGTTCCTACTACCATCTGTTTCCTACCAGAGTGTCTCCTTAGAATTGGGCTATGGCCACATTTAATCAAGCTAAACTATTCGCTCAAAAACGAATTGGCTTTCACACACCTGTTGTATGTGGGGATCTGGAAGATCCTAAATGTGTAGTTCGTTACTCCGAAATCGATTTTATCAAATATCAACCCAGCTGAATGGTGGATAATTAACAAGTTGCGTAATGAGATCCCTTGTTGTTCCGGACCGCGTAGCTGGACCAAATGTGGTCCATCACCGGACTAAGTGCCTGCTTGCAACTCGACTGCAGAAGTTGGTCATTTGTTTGTGATCTGTGTAAATTATTCGAGGCTTAGGTAATATTAGGCAGATAGAGAAAAAAACACCTATCAACGGGTCGCCAGTTTAACAGAAGGTGTATTATTTTCAAAGATTTACAGAAATCGACATGGGACCAATTGTGCTGCAAAGAACATACCATCCCCCACATCGGGTGGATGTTGACTGGCTGAGAAATATGAACACGAAAATAAGCGTCCTCAAGTGGAGTTGAAATTTCCGAAATTTCTGCATACCAGATAGTACCCTGGGTATAATATCCTTTAGTGTATAATTACACGATAATTGATATTCGTTTTGAAGGAACTGGGAGAATTTCGGCGTATTTTCTGGGAAACGTAGGTAGTTGTTTCTAAAAGCAAAATGCATCTTATTTTTCGGCAGTTGTGCTCCTAGTTTGTCCAGGATGTGACACGGAAATTTTCACGATAGAATTTGGTTATTGGATATGTGTTAGATGGCCGCGTTTCACAGATACGAGGGGAATAGCTGACCTGCGGAAGCCCGTGCAAATACTCGACAGGAATCATGATCGTTCTTCGAATGTTAGAAGCGACCATGGTTTGGTGGCTCGTCTAGTCCTGGACTCATGTATGGTCGTTGGGTCATTCCGTTGAGTCATTCTTTTTCTATATTTTATGTAAACTGTTGTGTGCAGACGCGTCAGCACTCCTTGTGCTAAGTTCACCATCAAACCATGGATGCTTTCGTACTTCGGAAAAGATCTCCACCACCGCTTTTTCTATATCCCGAATTTACCGAATGAACTTTCCCAGGGATGCTTCTGATGCCCCAGTTCAATCAATCAGTCAATATATCAGGTATAAACTGTGTACCATAGGCACATTGGTTTGTGCTAAGTTCACCATCAAACCATGGATGCTTTCGTACTTCGGAAAAGATCTCCACCACCGCTTTTTCTATATCCCGAATTTACCGAATGAATTGGGTAGCTATGCATAGTATACGACAGCTTTGATACACGAGCTCCACTGACTGCGCAGTTAGTCCATTTCTGCTAGTGTCACTACCATTGGTGAGATGAGCCCCGAGGTCCTCACCCAGATAGGCGGTAATTGTCGATCCGACTAAATTTACCGGTTAGTGTTTTCATACTTCGTTGCCAGGTCATACAATATCCACCTCTCGGTTGCTTCCATTCAGCGCAGGGCTGAGTGAAAAGACGATATTAGGGTTTGTGGATTACATGTCCTAACCAGCGTAACCTATGTAGTGTGCGTAGTTCACCTATCGCAGGAGAGTTCCTTCTTCCTGAGACCATCTGGCGTACATCGGCATTGCTAATCCGATGTTTCCAGTAGACCTGATCAATGCTTCGGAGACCTCGATGCTCAAACATGGACATCTTTCGTGCATCTTCTGTGTGTAGAGGCTACGTCTCTAATCCTAGTCAAGGAAACGTTATGCAATCTTACTGGCTTGGATGATACTTTTCAACATGTTCTCTGTGAACGACCGCTACGGGTTAGTTAGAACCTACAAAGAAACAATGGATTACCAGGGCCCGCAAAGTTGTTTGTGTTGATAACTGCTCTATTTATCGACGGATAACTTGCGATGATGACACTGGTAGACGTGATCCATTCATGGGACCGGTTGCACGCACTGAGTGAAGCTGCCATCTTGGGGGGAGATGGCCCAAGTGGTTGGAGCGCGAATTTACTGACCCGAAGGTCCGTGGTTCGAACCCGACCTCTGCTTCTCGACTTCCCCAGTCTTGGCTTGGGCAACCTGACAGTATCCCACCCCCCGTGCTCCCTTCGGGTGGCATGGCAGTTAGGTATCGAAAGGATGCTACGGCTGAACGATTGTTTTGTTGGTATTGCCATCTTTAGTATGTGATCTTTATTTCATCAGTAAAACGAAAAGGCTTATCATTCTTCCTCATGTCTGATTGCCTTGTATTTCCCATTCTGGGTGAAGGAAACTGTAGCAGTCTGAACCAACGTACTTTACACGGGGTTTGTGACTGACAAGCTGAGCGACCCACCGCAATTACAACACTCTCTGTGCTTGGTGTAGTTCGGCTGTTTGACCTGAACAAAGTATTCAGTGCCCCTAGAAACTCCCCTTACTTTGCTACTGTTTGTTATGTTGGAACATCGTTTGAATGTCTTTGCGGTTTACTCTGTCATGGATACTCAAGTGTTTTTCCATAACATGAACTGTCAGAATTCCACTGTCATCATTGTCCTATTGATTGTTTTCCACTTTACTGTGGCACTCAGATTATTTTGAAAAGCTCATTTTGGGCACCATTAACTTTGTGTGACTCCCCTTCATATACCTTTTCTCGCGTGGCAGGTAAAGCGTGTGTGGCAACGGCGCCGGGTTCGTATTGGAGATGGAGAGCTGTGCCTTTACCACGCGGACGAGAGCAAACCTCCTGTAAGACTGACACTTTTAACCTGCCAAGTTAAACTACCAATGGATGCTGCTCCCCAACAGACAGTAGACGGAGGCGATACTACTGCGGGTGGATCAGGCGTTACGCATTCTGGTTCTGAACTACGAAATCATTTCGATCTTGTTTCCAGTAAGTTCTCATACTTCTCCATATCATGTCCACAATGTCCTGTTATTCTTACCGTGAAGCCTCTCTGCTGCATGTTTCAAAAGACTACGACGTCCTACCGACCAATTTCGGTTAGCTTGCTCCGATTCCTGGTCTAACTGCCTAATGGGTTATCGCTTTCCATTAGCGAACGCTAGTCTTTCTCGCACGCCACTTTTACTGTCCAGATGCGCTGCACACCTTTCATAGCGCACTATTTCGTTACTTTTTTATTTCATAGCGATTTCGTTACTTTTTTATTCATTACTTGGGCTTCGTACACGGCTGTGGAACAGTTGTTTGCCACCGATGATCGATATGCCGGGGTTTCTGCTTTGACGTTTTGCGTATTAGGCCGAGGTGAATTTTTGTGTAGTGTGGTCTAAGACTTACTACAATGTGAATGTTACCATCCCTTTGTCGTGGTAAGTTTGTCGGTTAACAACACTAATATGTGAGGGATAATTTACAAACCGTACTATCTTTTACCCAGAAAGTTTTTTCTGACCTGCTTTACAGATGCAAAACACAGGCGTCCCCAAGCACCCATAGGACTGCTAGCACACATGTTCATGGCCAATGTAACAGCGTGCCACCTTAATTGCGCAAACAAGACTTTAGTCGATGGACCAGTTGTTAAACCTCATAGTGGCTAGATTCTGGCCCCGTCCTATTCCAGCTGTGTCTGTTTATTCAATATGATGTGCTCTTACAGAGTTTTTCTTCATAAGTAGGTGCACAACGGAATTAGTGAAGTTGTTCCTCATTCTATGATGTGCTTCGAGAAAACGAAAGCAGGATGGTAGCACACTTCATACTCAGTGACTGACCATCGTTGTCTCCGAAGCAGCCGTGTACTGAGTGGAAGTGACTGAGTGATGGATAGTTTATTACTGGAAACGAAGTAGACGAACACCAACAACCATTAAGCTTAGCCGGATCAACAACTATCGCCTCTCTGGATGAGGATCCCGGAACTCAACTTACCAATGCCTAGTGACACTGGTAGAAATGGCCCAACCGCGCAGTCAGTGGCGCTCGTGAATCAAGGCTATCGCCTTTGTTGCGTAGTTGCCGAGTTTCCGGAACTAACTGACCATGTCATCACCTCCAGCGTTTGTCTATATCTTCCACACTCCACCTTCCGGTAAATGAAGCTTCAGCAGCGGGAATCAACGTGTCTTTGCACATGGTTTTAAGGCTGACTGACTGAGTCTTCCATACTCCAAGAAACTTCATCAGGTTCTCTTAGGGTTGATTGAAAGGGCGAGTGAAAGACCTTCGAATTTAGCCGCACAGTTTTTGAATTCCCTTGGGAGTAACACCGAAAATCAGCGATAACTATCGCACAAAAATGTGCCGTGCACTTCACTGCAGCTTTGCTTACCAGAAAGGGTAAAATGAACGTTGGAATCGGTGTTTTCCACACTATCGTATCCTGATGATAAGAATGTTCCCCGAAATCTAGCAATTCGTTGCTGCTTCTTCCCCTACTGTTCATAATAGATACAACAGTCCTTCTGGAAGAAGCTTCATTGATGGAAGGCTGCTCTTCTGGGGGGTAGGGTGGGGGGTCCCAACAACATCTTTCGTATCTTACCACCACATATTTCAAACTCCGTCCAAAAGGAACTCAAACCCCTTTTTTCTTTGGAAATCGACCCGGAGAGGCTATTATATATAGCAAGCACCACCAATGTGCCTTGCAGCAGCATCATGGCCGAATCTGTTTGAAAAATTTCGAACACTCCGAGATTCTAATGTTCAAAATCCTCCACCCTAGCTCTTTGTGGGTACTAGAAGGTGAACGATTGAGGTGAATTTTGGTAGGATCACGTTGTACCGTTCTATCTGGCTTTGCTGTCACTAATCATCCCCATACCATGCATGTTAGTTTCTTTCATGACGGTCGACTCGACGTTCAATAAATTTCCAATTTGATTTAGTGAATCCAATAATGATGTCACCGGTGTTCATAATTTCCACCTCAGGCGTCATGAAACGCGGAAACCCTTGTTTAGTTGGCTCTCTGTCGACATATTTTAAAGAGGTTCTTGTGTCTCACGTGCTCTTTGTCTGGTTTTCTAAATCTTACGGGAACGAGAACACACCCGTTACATCCAAGAAACACTGGAATTCTATCTCAGTAGCAGGTTTGTTAGTGCATGTCACCGCTGTAGAGACGGGCAGCCTCTGGAGCTTTCCGCTTTTGCTCAGTAATGACAACAAGAGCCATCGACTATAATCGGGAAGTAAACAATCACACGGTTAATCCACGACCGATGTCCACTGACGTTCGCACACGGGTAGCCCTTATGTCTCTTTACCTATGGATCCACACGAAATTGGTCATTAGTTGGTCCCGACGGTAATCTTGAATATATGACACAGTCCATGTCGTACAACTGAGTTTGACTGGTGTCACCTAATCCTAATGTCTATCTCAAGCTGTGTGTGATGATAGCGCAGGGTGCATTGTCATCTGTTAACCTGTTTTCACAAATTTGGTTAGTATCACTTCCTTGGCTGCCAGCTAATCTCAGCAAACAAGCGAGTACGTCTAAGTGCGCCCACAGAAGGGATTTCAGGCCAAAATTTCCAGAACATTGTTGTGACTGTTTCTGCTAGGAGGACCGTCGTTTCTTAATTGATATTTTTGCCAGTAGATTCACATGACCATCTAGAAGAAGGGAGGGGGTCGTCATCGCTTTAATTTGCTGAAAATAATCGCGGTCAGTGAGGAAATCCACATTTTCAAGTACCATCCAGCTCATGGATCTATTGCGCCTAACTTTCTGAAAGTTTAGACACCCGAAGGTTTGACGAATGTGACGTTTGTTCTAAGGGATTCGATATGTCTTTCTAAAATACCGCTGAATTTTGTTCACATGTCTTATATTTTGGTTCGGTTTTCCAATAACCAAATACCGCATTCCTCTTATTTCCTGTCTAGCACTCGAACAACCAACCGGTTGCTGTTTAGAAAGACACATGTGTGTTGGGGACATGAGACTCCATGTTCGGAGATGTCATTCCGATCATACCTTTCTCTCCGACATCGATTGGGAGCTTGGTGACGCAGTTCGATTTACTGCCTACCACGCATGACCAAGCAGTCCTTTAAAGTTTCGGACAAGTGATGTCATTCGTTAAAGTGACTAGGGTTCGAATAGTCTGGAGTGCATTCCACTGATGCATAGTTTTAGATGGGCTATCTGACTGCCTCAAGTTTGTTATCCCAAATGACAGACGCCACGCGATTTTCTGTCTGGTTTTAACGCGTCACATTAGATTGTCTGCCGCAAATTTTCCTGGCCCGTAACGGTGACCATGAGCAACTGGGTAATTTTTATGTAATCTGTGATGGCCGACTATGGTTTCCTCCTGTCATACTCCAGGCCAAGTCGCTACATGCTAGCAGTCCCACAACTTAACTTCCCATCGAGGGATTCTTTAGTGAGGCTTCACAAACAACGCCACCAATAACCGGCCTCCCACATCTTTGTACCGACAACTTACCGGAGGTTTTCTACTTGTGCTCGCTTCTGTGGTAGGTAATTCAGGCGAATGAAGGTTGGCTTTCCTCACCGTGACAGGTGCCTAGCTCGGTTTCGTTCACTTTATTTGCGATTGTCGACACACAGGTGCGACAGTAGTTGTTTACTCTTTACTTCCCAGCATATCAGTTGCTTCTCTATTTCACATCTATTCCCTGCGCAATTTTCCACCCTATTAATCTTACAGACAGCCGGACGTATAATTTCCAAGCCGAGGATGACCAGGAATTCGAAGAGTACGTCCCTGCATCCAGATTACTTTTGAACTTATGCTGACTGGGACTGGTTTCCCGGTCCTCCTCAGTCATTTTTGACTTACCGCTTTACTTTGACTTACCGTTTTATCTGTTTTAAACGTCTTGGCATTATTTTCATTGTTTATTATTACTTTTATTATTATTGAACTCGATATAGCTCAGTGGTTAAGGCGCCATCTGAAGCATCGGAAGATCGGTGGTTCGAACTCAATCTCAGTATCTCCAATGCTTCTGTCTAGGCGTGGGCAACCTATCGGTATCCCAGCCCTCGTACCTCTTTCTATTGTCACGTCAACTAAGCACTGAAATGGTGCTACAAGTGAACGATTATTAGCATTAGTATTAGTACTGCTATTTGGGAGGGTTGGCTCATCAGTATTGCTATGTTGGATCGATTTCTCATGAGCTGGTTCGCTGTGTTCAAGTTTGACCCACACGGACCTCAGATCGTTGGATACAATTAGTGCCCGTTTCATTCATTGACTCTGTTTCTCATCTGTATCCTTCACAGCTGTATGGAACTTGGTGCCACAGTGTGGCAGCTACTAGAAAGTATGCTTAAATGATTATAAAACCATTGTACGTCGTTGCTACCATAAATCCAATGGAATCTAAGATGCAGCATCTGGCGCCTTGGCCTGCGGAGGCACTACACACACATTTATGCACATTTACTTTAAGTTTTTGGCCGTTTCACCCCTGATTATGAAAAGACTAACAATGCCACTTCGACTAATTGTCAATGCACATAAGTTTAGAATGTCGCGTGTATTCAATTCTCAACAAAGCGCATGAACCATCTCGGACATCTTTGAATACAATTCACCAATCCAACTCACTAATTTCCCAGTGCTAATGAACTTAGAAGCAGATGAGCAACAGCTCCTTTTTCGGAGACCTTTATTCAGTATGCACTGTGTGGATCGGTATAAACACAGCTGTATTTTAAGAGCCAACATAGAGCTATTCTGTTTGTGGGTAGTGTGAGGAGATTAGGGTTTTTTAAGGAGGTTTCGTCCTGTAACTGAAGCCAATCTATGCTGGAAAGCCGAGAAGCACTGTACAGCTGTTTCATCCCCATTGAGAATCATCGGTAGTGCGCATCTTACGGAGCTCCGAAAAGTCAGTGCGCATCTTACGAAACTCCGAAAAGTCTCGAACCCGCGACCTGCTGGCTAATAGTTTGAACACTTAACTGTTCTGTCCGATTCCCTTTGGTTTACACTGCGTACAGAGCGTTCGACTGGTTGCGAATTCAGTGAGGCGCAAACCGCATGTAACGTTAGCTACAATGTGTGGAGATTCGTCCTGCTAGTACAATGCCACAGGCCAATCGGATATCATCCTAACGCTGAATTCAGTTGACCATGTGATTCTACCAATTTGAGACGTGTACTGTAACCCATGTTCTGATTTCTTATCGCTGACAAGTTGGGACTTTGGTCAGCATTTGGTCGCACTCCGATCTTTGTTCCGCGTCGAGACAGATCAACTACACCACTGGATCTGTAAACGAGACTCACGTGCTCATCCTACACTCGTACTTGCATGTGACGCCCACTATCGTCTCGTTTGGCTGTGTGTGGGTTATTGTGTGAGGACGAGCTGCATTCTCAATGCGGCCGTTGAGGCCGTGTTGTAAAACAGAACACTGGATTAAATCTCTCCTTGTTCGTTAAGCTAAGTTACTTTTTCTAGATGCCTGTTCCTTGGAACCGAACCAGTTTCTTGGAATCAAACAAGAGGACAGGTAGTCTACTATGGCTCTCACAAACGGCTCGACTGTGCACCCGCTTGTAATATATGGGGTAAAAAGTTGAACTTAGCATTACTCATTTCCGTGTATATCGATATCTTTTCTGTAGAGTTCCATTTTCTATCAACTAATCAACGGTTCGTCACATACACGCCTTCCACAGCTTTTATCCCCAAAAGCTGAAACTTTACACAGGGGAAAAGGGATCCAGTTGCCGAATTTCGTTGCTAACAAGTATATAGAAGATAATAGATTAAAATTCGATGTGTTCAGTATTTGTTGCTTGCAATCTTGGTTTGGCTACTGACCAACCGAAACCGTTATTTTCCACATAGGGGCCAATTGAAGAAGAATCCACCGAAAGTAAAGATCAAATCTATTTTCATGAACTGTATGTCTGATTCATCATCACTCTGTCTATGCGCTTTTATGTATCCCATTCCAGGCTTTGTAGCTGGTCGTAGCTGAATTACTGTTTTTCCACTGACTTTATGACATCACGTGAGGGTACACAATCACCCAAGAGGACAACTTCCTGTGATTTGAATTTTAAAAATTACTACCAATCAGGAGAACTGATTCACTCTTTTGAGAGAATTCACTTCACTAGGCTATGATTCTTGTTGTTCTCCGCGGTGTTCTCTCCCAAAGGAAATTTCATGTAATTAGGGCCCTTGAGAATCCATCTTTGCTCTGTTATGCACACTTTTCTATGTAATTCGAAAGCGTTTTTTTTCAAATCCGTGTAGGTGGATCAGTGTGTTGAATAATGCAATGCAAGAGGAATTTCGTCGTGCTATGAATGTGAATGACATGGAGTCCGCAGAACTAGATGCTGCCGTTTTTGGGAGCCGAAATAATAATGCCGCAGCTGAATTTGACCCTTCACAGACTTCCTCCCCGCCGACGACGCGCTATCCTTTTGGAATGACTAACCGCGCAGGAAGCGTCGGAGCTGCTAGCCTTCGTGATAGTCTACCAGGAAGTGAGCATGATCCACTTGATTCCAGGTAATATGACCGAAGTATTGACTTGCCTTCTGTTTCTTTTGCTGTTTGTTCGTAGGCCCATGAAAACTTTTGTGAATTATTGCACACGGTATTCTCTAGTTGCACACGACTATGTGCGCCCTGGATGTACGTAAAGTAGGCGCACACAATTTCAGTTGCGTTTATTGTCAACCACCAGGGCAGTGTCATAGCTTCACCTTTAGAGAACACGATTATGCACTGCCTGATTTGGGCCATTGCAATGGTTCTTCTCACTTTACTCTCCTTACATTGACAAATTGGCACCGTCATCAGGTTTCCTCTCGGATTCCAACCCCTGCCGGCATTAAACTCCGGGTACAAGACATTCAGGGAACCACGAGGGTTCTATGTTAGCTTTCCATATAGATGGCGAAGGAACACTTTTGGAGTGATAGGATTGAGATGCGAACCGTCGTGATGTCTGATTCACCTGTTAGGACAGCATAAGATCACCATTTCGATTCTATGGCTTGGCTAAATTGGTTGTCGCCACCCGAAATGTTTGCTTAAGAAATCCAATCAGTCTTGTGATGTGAATTGGTTCTACGCTGTCTTTATTTGCGGGTTCACCGAATTCGAACAGTAATATTGGAGCTTGTCTTATGCTGACTTGTGTCGTGAAGTCAACAGTGACCGGCTGACTATATCAGTTGGTCAGTTTGATCGGTTCTTCCGTTTAAACATTGATGGGCCGTTCCGGTTAACACACAGAAATCAGAGTTGGTTGTTGATCGATTAAAATTACTTCAGTTTAATCCAATCTGTGTGTTTGTCGAGTTGAATAACCCTTGGTCAGCCGACGAGATCCGAACAGCCCATGATGGTTTCATAATGACATGTGGCGTTTTGGCTCCCACTGAAGATCATTCAGTCACTTTTTGTGTAATGGAGGTGAGATGGCTCAGCGATTAGAGCTGACTTCGCTGTCTAGGCTTGGGCAACATAGCATTATCCCAGCCCTATTGCGGTTGCATGGAAGTTATGCACTGAAAGGCTTCCCTGGCCAGATCGCCAATGATACGGAACATCCAATTTCGCCCTTCTCTTTTTCGTTAAGCTACTTGGTTAGCACAGCCGAGCATGATTAGACATTTGTGAACCGGGGATAACTAAGATGGAGCTGTTCTATCCGACGAAAGCAAGAGTAAAGGAACTCATTTTCACATTCATCGATTTTCTTTCAGCTGACTCCACGCTGTTGTCCCGGTTTTGATGTAGACTGATAGACCTACATACCTTTCATGTGGTTTCTTGCTTGCGCCTCATGGACCCCGTAGGCTTCGCGGATTCGGCACTTCCCATAATCCATTTGTTTTACTTGAAATATCACATTTTCCCGTTACTTGTTATTACTAATTGGTCTTCTGTAACTTTGCTTTCGACATCAACAGTACACCTCATGTTGCAGAATAGTCTCTCCTTCAGTTCCCATTCTATTTGTTCTGCTTTCTCTAAATCAGCTATCTCTGTATTACTGGCCATTTTCAGCTCACCCACCTCCCGTTCACGTGATAGTCGCTTGAGTCGCCTTGGCAGTGCGGATGCGTTGGGCGCCACAGATGTTATGCAGACCTCAACCTATGGTAGCTATGAGACACCACTCAAAGGAAAAGCACTCCATAGCACAATCCAATCAGTACTGAGGAACTGTCCTGGCAATGAGGTTTGCGCTGACTGTGATAGACCAGGTAATTTTCGGACTGGGGACAACAACCATTTGTGCGTTTTACCTACCACAGTTATAGTTTTTTCTCAGCTTGTTCTTTGTACTGTCCATCCATTTCAGTATGTGGAAACGGTACTGCGAGTCCGTTCCAGCCTCTAACGGGTTGCGTCATTTTGGTCAATCAGTGCCACGGTTCGGCTCCAACCCTTTTGACCTTTCGATCGTCTCTTGCTAGGCTAGTATCTCACTCCTCATATGCTTTCTTTGAGTTGTAAGGCAGCTGTCACAGCTGAACGATTATTGTTATTATTATTATCATTATTGTGAACGCTATATTCAACATTGTTTGCCATATCCCTGTGGATGCCAGTGTCAACCCTTGTGTAGCACAATGTGGAGAAAGTGGGGCACGTCTACCGAGGTGTTCTGACTGGTTGACAAACTGGAAAGGGCGGCTACCGGTCTTCTGATAGGTTCAGATTGTACTCCAAACCACTGTTTGAGTTCATTCCAAAGCGGACATTCGTGTGCATCAACTTGTGTTCAGGCAGTATCACCACTTGTCTCACATTCTCCTTTCCGTAGATCCGGAATGGGTGAGCGTGAACTTGGGCGTTCTCATTTGTCTTGAGTGCTGTGGCGCGCACCGCGAGTTGGGGGTGCATCACTCGCGGACGCAGTCACTTCTCATGGATGACCTATCGACCAACCAATTGTTGGTAAGTTTCATCCTCTTTTTCTGGTATTCGATGGAACGAATTTCTATGAGTCCTCAGGCTATCTCGGATTCTTGAGAAAGTCTTTTGCTTCAAGTTTATTATTTGTAGACCTCGCAGCTGTACACACATGACTGAATCGTTTTAACCAGCCATGTTCCGAATGTGAAAGATTCCAAGGTTCTATAACCTTGAGTCGAAGTATCAAATTTTCAATGAGTAACCCCTGTTGTGTTAGCTAGTGCTGCTTTTGGTCATCATCTTTGGCACTGCCTTGATATCAGCCTCTGACCCAAGTTGAACATATGGAACATCTTTTTTCCACTCTTCATCACTGGCCATTGCGAGTGGACTACATTCCACGTCTATCCGTCTTTGATCATCAATGCTTTCATCCTATTGTATATAGTTGGTGGAAGAACACATCAGTGACCATGTCACAAAAAGCACTTTCCCCCACAAGAGGGGATGCAGAATTTGTGCGTTGAGCTTTTTCGTATTTTTAGCCTATCCAATGTCCGACATAAAGATCATTGTCCTGATTGACCAGAGTTTTCATCTGAAGTACAGTTTCCCACACTCTGAAAAGAACACTTTTCCGACGGGAACACTTTTGGTCATTCCGGAAAATGACAATGAGCTGCGACTTCCAAGTTATTTGCGACTGCTACAATGATTATGACCACTAAGTGGACCGATGCATTTATTCACTGTGTAACTTGTCATAATAGAAATGGAGTGTTCGGCTTGTTCGAGGCTAGTGGAGAACGTTGTTTTGGAAGGGTGCTTCTGTCTAGCGATTATTTTTAATGGAGGGACGCACTTTTGCTTTTTCCTGTCATAGGCGTTACGTGGATCTCCAGCATGAGAGCGAGGTGCCTCGGTGGTTGGAGCGCAAATTTACTGTTCGGAAGGTCCATCGTTTCAAACTGACCCCTGCATTCCGACTTCTCCCATCTGGGTTTGGGTAACCTCGTACTTTGGATGGCATGGCATCTAGGCGTCGAAAGGGTACTACAGTTGAACCATCACTATTTTATTATTACCACGAGACCTACGTGTTTTGGAGCACTCATGGTTCTGTCTTATACAGAGATCAATTGCAAGAGGTATTGGCAGCTCCGCCACTGGAACCGTATCATCATTTCGTGTCTGTCTCGTCTACTCGTGGAGGTCCATTCTATATCAACCTGACCACCAATCAGTTCATAGAACAGTCCCAAACACTGCCGTTGTGGTTGATTTTACCCAATTAAACCCGTTTCAATTCATTTTGGTGTACATGAACAGCGGAATGGCTCAGGTGGTGGGATGACTCAGTGGTTAGAGCAGGTTAGAGAAGGCCGTCGTCCGAATCCGACCTCTACCTCTCGACTACCCCTATCTAGGCTTGGGCAATCTGGCAGTATCCCAGCCCTCGTGCTTACTTCTGGTGGCATGACAGTCAGGCACCGAAAGGTTGATGCAGCTGAACGGTTATCTACCTATTATCTGCCTATCTACCGTAAACAGCATCACTTTGCTTTTTTCAGTTTCTCCTCCTTACTTTTCCGTATCGTGATTGCGGCTGGTTTTTCTGTTTCCTATACGGTTTTCGTTGAATTCCATATTACTGGAGTAAGTTAGGCTCTTATTTTGTTTCAGGACCGCTTAATTTATACCAAACGGTCACAGTCAAATCATTCAGGATTCGTCAGACCCGTACTCACCTTGTCAGATTTTGGAATAGATACTCTAATCAGTAGCTCTCTTGTTGAGAGATGTACCCGTTGTCGGGTACACAACACAGCGATCGTAAATTCTTGACTTTGAATAGTGCTCTAGTGATCTCACCTAATTGCTAGCTTGGCCTTCCTACTTTATAGCTTTTTGAGACCCTAACAACCGAATTCCTGCTTGTTCTCTACTTCATTCGCACACATGCTTGTCATCCTCATCATAGAAGCTGAATTAATGACTATAGTTGAGTAAACGAGCATCATTTGAATGTGGCCGTGTGAACTCCGTGCTAGTTACCACATCTCAGTTTACCTTTACCTGTGTTGACGTCTAGTGAACTATGTGTTCTATGTCCTGACTGCTGGCAAATTTGGACATTGTCCTTACGATACGCCTATCCCCTAGTTGGCCGTCTTTGGTCAACGTTTATGTTCGTAGAAATTGACCACTAGCTGTCAGGTGATTGGTCCAATCCTTTTAATTGGCTGTTCACCATCTTGTCAGCACGCCTCCTCAACAGTCCTTGCCACATGTCCAGGAATGCGATCTAGGGATGAATCAATTATTCTTGTCTGATTTTACTCTGGACGCTGCGAATCATGTCACCAACTTTTTTTGGTTCGATTTTCGTGTGAATGTCAGTTACCCCGGTTCGTTGGCAATCGTGTGTTCAACGAGATATTCGAATCTTCACTGGGCAGTGGCGTTAAACCGAAACCTTTGGAAAATGTCACGTAAGTTGATTTTGGCTAAAATATCAACTTGCTTTTGTTGTACCGGCGGGGAGAATTCGTCCAACCCTCGGGTCGTTTCAGTAAGTCCGTTTATTCCGACTCGCGGCGGAAAACTAACAGCTGTGAGTGAATTATCGGGTTTCCTAAGTTAGACTGTCGGCGGTATTATCTGCACAGTTACCACTGAGTCTTAGGTATTTTCATGTTCGATAATCGTGACAACAGTGACCTGAGAAGCCCTTCTATAAAACGGCGTTCTCGAATCTTCTCGTTACTAGCCCTTCTCACGGTACTCTAGTCGGCAAATCTGCTCTACCCTCCGGGATAGCTTGTCTTCTTGCTTGTAGAGCAGCGGCGGTTCACTTTAAGAAACTCCGACAAATCATGATCAGTTTTTCAGTAGTCAATCAACGGATGGTAAATTTTTCTCAACCCGGCCTGATACTTGTTCGCAAATCGTGATCCACCTGGTGTCCCTTTTGCTACATGTGCCCATAAACGCGTGTGAAAAACCACGAAAGGAAAAGGCCAAGACTATACTCAGTAGACGCTGGTCTCACGGTGATGAAGGACTAGACTGCGTTCCTCTCCGGCCTTTCTCTTCCCACCTTTTGGGGCGAGATGGTCTAGGCGGTCAGCGCGCGAATTTACTGACCGGAAGGTCCGTGGTTCGAACCCTACCTCTGCCTATCGACTCCCCTGTCTAGGCTTGGGCAACCTGGTAGTATCCCAGCCCTCGTGCAACCTTCGAGTGGCATGACAGTTAGGCACCGAAAGGGTGCTACAGATGAACGATTTTTTCCTCTTCCGTTGTCGGTAGCGTGTTTTCCGTTTGCGTTATTAATCTTCTATGGTTTTTGGCAAAATTCCTGCATCATCTAGGTGCAAGCCAACGAGCATTTCGTATTCGATATTTGACACCGGTCTTGGAACAGTTCCTGCTGTTTTGTCCATTCACACAGGTCTCTCTGTTCATTGGAATCATTTCCAGCCGCGAGTTATTGCATGTTCTAAAACAACTAGTTGAAGATTTCCCCCTCGTTTTTACATACTCTCGCTTCACAATTGTTAGGTTGTACGTCGAAGGAAAACGGGAACGGGACTTGTCGTTGCTCGTAGTGCCTACCTTTGGATGGGAGAGAGATACTCTGGTGTGGTACTAGAAACCGACGAAACAGGTGTAGTGTGGTTTTTGGTGCATGGGTTCACTGAAGGCGGTGTCGCTTTTTTATTCGCGCCTTCCTTGTAACAATGACGGTAATGAAACATTGAAAACGGGTGGGTTCGAAGCATGAATATATCGGTTAGCAGCTCACGCTTCAATATCCAAGTAGTCTCAATCTCATCTGTTATTCCCACATGTTTGAAAAATGAGGCCGGTATAATGTGAGGCTTCCGGGGAACGCGGCCCTAATCTACCGTGATAAACGTTTTGTGCATCTCAGTCGTTGGGTTGTGACAGGGTGCATATTCGATGTCCACGATTTCTCTCCATAGCTGCTGTTGCCCACAGATGATAGGATAAACTGCACAGTTCGGTGTACTATGTGCGGGACGGGACTCGGGTTACATAATTGATAGATTGCTCATCTGCCATAAGATGTATCTCATCTCACCCTTGTCTCAGAGTTAAACTTGTTTCTGCATGGACGGAAACACTACCAAACTTCTTATTTTTGTGTGTTATTTGGTCCTTGCTGTGCACACTTTTGTTCTAACCACCAGTGCACAATCAAGTCGAGCCTTTCGCTTAACAGTGTGGGATTACCTCAGTCCCCATTCTCACCAGAAACGTCACAGGATCTCCTCATCCATGAACGCTGGTTAATTGAGTCACTTATCCGAAGCAAGTTACGGCTGATTTGGGGTCTGAGTTCAGATTGCGATGATAAGAGACGTCTAAATTCAGGGTATTTTGTAGCCGACATCACCCTTCATAAGTAGGGATCACACAGTTGTAATCTGTTCCTAAGGCACAGGCTTTATAATGACATATTTATGTTATATGTTTCCTGCGAGCGACAGGATCTAATAAACCTCACTTCCGCACGATGTCGTACACTGTCAGCAAAAGTAGTGAAAATAGATCTGGATGGTGGTACGAGCGTTAATCGATACACGTGCCGTCTGCTGAAACCAAGAGTTGGCGATATGAGGCGCTTACTGGGAACGATGGCTAGTGCGTTGGTTAATAGGCCACCGTGGACTGAGACAGAACATCGGTTCTCCCAGACGACGAAGGGGCATTCGGAAGACAAATGGATGGTGGCGAGCAATAGACCGGCGAAGTCAGGTTTCCCAAGGTGTATCTTTTTGAATTATGGTATAAGCTGTTCTAGACTCCTCCGCTTATCTTGAAAATTGGGTCTCAGTAGAGTTTCCGATTAGAGTGAAAACCGTTGTTTGGTTAACAAGCGGTAAGACTGGCACTGTGAAATTTTGTGCAAAAGCAGACAGCACTTCTGACTCGTAAACTTCATGAAGCCACTGTATTCGCACACGCGCGTCAATAAATTTTTTTCGAACAGTATTCTGAACGAACCATGTATAAGCCGATGCTTTTGACACAGCATTCAAAGCACCATGCACGTTTATCCATTCGATTGGCAATAAACCGGTCGGTTTCTGTTGCCTACGTTGTGATACCTCCATCAGACCATCACTCCTACCTGGCATTCGCCATTGTTGCACGTTCCAAGGCCGATCACCCCAGCCGATGGCATGACATCGCTTTTTGCAAGTGCCGTTGCTGGGACCACCAGTCCAGGACTTCAGTTCAACCCGGCGAACCAATCTGTACTGAGCAGTATGTGGACTACAATCACGGTAGCTATTTGTGTGTATGGGGTCCACGTTGGCAACGCAACCAGCCAGAATATGCTACTACTCTAATCTGTTGTGGATTTAACGTGACAACTTCAGTGCGATAAGCTATTCACACACAATGCAACCTAGCCTAATCGCGATTCATAATTGAACATTCCATAGACACTGAAGGCACTCACTGGTCCTAGAATAAAGACACTGACAGTGGGGTTCTACATTAATACCATGTATGGGACGGATACTGCAAAAGTACCATTGGTGTGTACAGTCTCCCGGATCCGGCGATTGCATTGGTTGACTCCTTTCGTGTTGTGTGCACATGTTTTCTCCAAACATTCCCCCCGTAGCAGTGACATTCGAATGAAAAAGGGAAAGTTTGACATCATTGCCTAGAAACGTTGCAAGGACGCACTTTTCTGCGCATTCGATGAACGAACCTGTTGGCAACGTTGTCATTAGGCTGCTCAAAAAATCCGCATCGGTTTACGTCAAAACCGTGATGCAGTATTTTTGTGTATGTTATGCATTGATCTACACTTGCAGCGTGTCCCAGTAACAATCTCCGGACGAGTTACGTTTCTTAGAGTCAGGGCTTATGGGCGCATGCTAAATAGCGGAAAAAACTACCAGCAATTTCGGAGGCTGGTTGGTGTTTTACTGCTGAGCACATAGCGCCTCACCAATTTTCCTCTAACAGGCCAAAAACAAAAGTTATTAACGTAGGATGTGTGCCTTGTAAATGAGCTGAAGAACACGGTTGTGCTGTCTTACCAGGTTAAGGTAATCTGGACTTATGGCACGATTCAGAGAAATTCGGAATACGCGTTTGTGGTGGGGGATTTTTTTTGTGGAAGCATGTTCGGTGCTGATGGAAAGGTTGGCTTTAATCAAAACATGGCTCCATATTCGCTAAGTAGCCAGCTGATTTTGAGTTTCGCTAGTCGTACCGTGTATTGCTAATCAAATGTGCTCTGTCATGAACCTAAAGGACGAGGGATTATGATTTTGGGATTTATCGTTTTTCTGAATTCATTTCGCGTCGGGCGATCAAGCGAGTGTTATTTATCACTACTTGTTTTATAGTCAGTAGTGTGTATTTGAAACTGATTTTGTCAACAATTGCCGTTGCACACACCCTTTGCATCTAAATTCGTTTGCTTTTATTTTTTCTCTATCCGGTTAGATTTTTGCCAATTAGGTGAGAATTTTGTTACCACCTTATTTAATCACCAAATTGTTGTCGGAAATAAACACCACTCACCATTACGCATATGATTTTGGTGACCATGGATCGCAGTTCTTTAGCACTGAGATAAGAAATCGGACGCCTGTTTTTTCCTTGCATATTGATTAATTAATTAAGCTTGTTACAGAGTTATGATTCTCGGTCTCCTCACATGATTTTCATCATTAAAACTGATTTTTGCGAGAGGCTTGCCTGTACACGGTGTTCGGAAATCAATTTCTGGAATGTCGTTCTATTTCTGTCTCTTAAATAATCGGCTTTTATCCCATTTTCTTATAGAGATAGCTCCGGAATGATGCAACGACGAGCGTTCGTTAAAGAGAAATACGTTGACAGGCGGTACATTACATCCACAACGACATCTTTTACTGCACCATCGTCTGACTCTCCGGCAAAAAATGGTGTTGGTGATCCTCGTCTCCCCCGCCGCGACCCTGTTTCTGAACGCTTCTTGCGCAAAGACCTCCTCCGAGCAGTAAAAACTGGTGACTTATCTACGTTGCTACAGGTGAGTATATCCAGACTTTGTACACATTCATCCAGCTAACATGTCACGAATAGAGGACGGCATTCTGTTGTGACGATTTGTGTATATCCACCACCTTTGGAGCTTTACGGGAGTGTACGCGCGACACTTGCAGGGCCTCTCATCATCAGGTGAGTATACCAGACTTTGTACACATTCATCCAGCTAACATGTCACGAATAGAGGACGGCATTCTGTTGTGACGATTTGTGTATATCCAACAACTTTGGAGCTTTACGGGAGTGTACGCGCGACACTTGCAGGGCCTCTCATCATCATCGACAGCATGACATCAGTGTTCACTGCCGTACAACCATGACTTATTTGAAAGCCTTATTGTAAAGCAAAGGGCAAAGGTGGACGGGGAAGGGACCTAAAGTTAGCTTACCACAATCATTCCGAAGTGTCTATACCTCCCGACACTCACTCAGGCGATCTGGATAGGAACTGACAACAAGAACGCCACTGACATCGGTTGGCAGCCATAGCTTGTAGTGTCTCCAACCAGGCACAGTGAGGATCACGCGGTCCCCATCCTGGAAGGCGAGTAGCACCGACAGCACCCAAGCGTTTCGTGATCTCCTTCATACTCCTCTGCCAAGTCAAGGGTTGGCCACCTCTCTGTTTACGCCACTCCGAATTGGGCATGGAAAACAGTACTCTCTTCGGCAAACGACGGTTCGGCATACGTAACACATGTCCCAACCAACGCAGCTTCTGGTGCTGGACACATTCTCCAATGGAAGTACCCGTTACACAACCGAAAACGCGCTTTCTAACTGCATCATTACGGATTCGCCGACACCAATTCACACGAGCTATGGTTCTGAGACAACGATTGTCGAACACCTGAAGACGTCTCAGGTTCGCTGCTCGAATAGGCATGAGTTTATTTATGTATGTGCAGTTCAGAGGAGGACGATTAGGGTCCTCAACCAAAGCCTTTGGCTCAAAGCCTAACCGCAAGGCAGCGGTCTTTGGCGGGAAATGCAAATGCGTTACCATTTCTACGGAACAAGTCGCCACATGTTCCAACCCCCAACCTGGAGGGCCAGGAGACTGTGTTCGTCAGACCTCTAACCATTGACCAACCTGGTATGAGAGACTCTGAGTATCGCGGGACACTGTCCAGTATAGCTCAATGGATCGGTGAGGTGCGCAAACCGTCACACCACGGTAAGGTCCAGTCTCTTCGTGACGGAAGGCATTGGTTACCCTCTGGTGATGACTTTACATCCAGCTTGAATCAGTGAGACTAAAGTGTTCAAGCTTGACCCGGTAACTTTCTCCGTCCGAATAGGTTCACAGCGTTCTGCTTTCTTCCAGCGTCGTCAGTCCCTTGGGCTTCTTACTGTATTGCGGGTCTCCATATATTGGTTTCCTGGTTGGCCAATGCGCTGCTAGTGTGACCTTGGAAGAGTCGTAACTTTTAGTCAAGTTTCTATTTTCATGATATTTACCACACAATCAAATGACCTAATTTTTGCAGTAGAAGTCAGTTAGCAGTTTTCTTATTCTCACTTGAACTCATTCGTTCCGACCTCTATACCCTGCTGATGTATGTTGTGTGGTGTCTCATACTGATTTCTGTATATTACCTTGAATCCATGGGGATTATGACCATTGTTTTCACTGTAACCTAATGCACTGCCCTTGTTATACCATTCTCTTGTTACCATTCTCTAGGACACCTTCATACAGAGTTTTGTACGCCACGTATCTGGTTTATGTTTCAGGTTTATGCGGAGAAGTTCGATCTTATGACCCCGCTTCTTCCGGAAGACGATGATGACAACAGTTTGGGCAATCTGGAAGGCATGTCAGCTTTGCATGTCGCAGTAGAGCGAGCGCGATTCTTGTCAAATAGTTGCGAATTGTCGGGCGCCTCACATCTGCCTTTAATCGAGTTTATTCTTCAAAATTCCTCCCTGTAAGCCTCCATCTCCCTCTGTCTCACTCATCTGATCGGTTTTAAACCACTTTTGTCAATGTTCACATCGTATTGCCGTGTGGGGGGTTTTCTTGCGCAGTCGTTTCATCGGTACCGAATCCCCGTAAACTAGACCATTTCTATCTCGGTTTTTCAGTACTCAGCTACAACGAACAAATAGCCGTGGAGATACTGCACTTCATCATGCGATACGCTGTGGCTCGTTGGATGCTGTCAAACTTCTCCTGCAGGCTGGTGGATTACCCACTCCCGTAAGTTATTCTCAACCGTATTTAGGCTCCCAGCACAAACAATAACACCCTCTTGTTGCTACCTTATTTTATCCATTGTTATTGACGCATGCAAGTCATTTCATCCGAGCTGACATTTGTCTGCTTCCATCCAGAATTCGAAATTCTCCGCCCCAACCTGAACACGTGTTTGAACCTCTCGTTTTACGGCCAATCTGCACAAGTTTTAATGCATTCCACCCACGGGCTTAATGGATACCGTCAATTCATTTCATCCTTACCCGACACGCAAACTGATTCCCTGTTTTTTTTTTCATACATTGCTTCTGCTAGCTATGTGCATTCAAAAGCAAGTACACCTTAGCAAGCCAATGTGACAAGCTGGCTAAGCTAGATGAGGTTTTTGAAACTGGATGTGATGTGCACTGACGATGGCTCAACAGGTTAGAAGTAGACGGTAGATTTTGTTCGTTCCAACCCGCCGGGTTGTCGAACGCTTATTCGAATTCGTCATTCTAATACAGCTAGGGCCACATCTTCGAAAAAAGCTGGAAATCCCTGATCACCGTCCTCATGCCAGAACCCCATGCAACCGCCGCATCTGATGTAAACCAACTCGATATTGTTGTCACAATTACCTGTTTTGCAATACGTTTTGCCTGTCAGATGCCGGCAGGAGTGTCTTCTGTGGCCTATGCTCAGCGAACCTGCTTGTCTGTGAACGTTTTTTTAGGAATTCATAGCGTCGTCTTCCTATCTTCCTAGGCAGTGGATGGGACAATGAACTACATTATACTGCAATATTTTAAATTGCCCGACGTAGTGGCTCTCATGTGGATTAAAAAACTTCAATATATTCAATACCGTCCGAGTTTGGTTCCACCGGACGAATTTCCATTTGAACCTGACGCATTTCACATACGTTCCATAACGGAACGCTCCAGAATGACAACTGAGCATCTAACGAAGCCATAAAAAAACTTTTTCAAAAATTTTTGGTAAAGGTCCCGTTTTCAACGATTATATTTTGGTGTAAGATTTCGTTTGGTCAAGCAATAAATCACCAGGTAGGTTAGGTCTTAGAGCAGGTGGATAACCACCAATCGAGATATCTTTCACTAGAAAAGTAAGTCATTACTCATTTTCAGTTGAATTTTCGTGGTGGCTACTGTGAATGGATGGGATCGGTTCGTCGCTGAATGAACTGGCTTTATTCCTTGTGGGTATTCTAAAATCATTAAACCGGAAGTCATCTATGCACATAAAGAATTCGTATGACCTTGTCATTTCCACTAAAATAGGACGTGTCTCTTGTGGGGTATGAAATCCACCTGGTCTAAAAATACCCCTTTGATGATAGCAAATCCGTTGTTTCTTTGCAACTATCTGTAGATGAGAAATTTGATTGCATCACTTTGATTTCAAACCTATTATTTATTTTTTATAACAAGGTTTAACAGTGTGTAATAACAGTATTTTCCTCAGCTTAATTCTCGGTTTCAACCTCTCAAGCTAGCGTTCCCGTCAAAAAAACATTCACCAAAGGTGCACAACGTATATTAATGCCCAAAACCAGATCCAGAACACTTGTACAGCGCGTCGTATATAAAATGTATGCCGCGATAACTTCCTGGAAATTCCGACACCTGAATGCGCCTGAATGGCGATAGGCTAACACGGAGTCATGACTGGCTGTTGGGTCTGGGTTTTCGACTAATCAGAGCTCGTGTTGATGCCGGACCGGCAAGCAGCCCAATTTGTTTGGCCACTCTTGTGCAGGTTAGACTCCTCGGCCATAACAGCGCCCAACTGCGGGTGGTGAAGTGGTATCGGTGTACATTCCACTTTGCACAATGGGATCTCCTCTACTCCCGTTTTTGTCTAGCGTTTATGAGTGAAGGTAGTCCTACGCCGCATTCGGGTGTCTTTCGAGGGCACTTTGGAATTTCCTACACCACAATTTCGTTGTGATCAGGATTTCTTTTGCAGTAACTTGAATTCCTAGATAAAATCAGGTTATAGCTTGATCCCTTCTCGGGTGCACTATCGTTTCGGGGCAAAAAATTTGTGGAAAATTAGAATTTACTGTTCAGGAGGAAGCAATAGACACTATTTTCATACTCATCGGTCTATCCTAAAGCATTTTGCCGAAGTGTAGTTTCCGCAGGATGTAATCTTATATGGTAGGTCTTACGACAGCCCGGGTTGAAGTCAAAAAGTGACTTTAATATCCTGCGAGCGTTATTGCGCAGCAACTAAACTGGCTATCTTACTTAATATCACGCTCAAACAAGGAACAGATTGGCACAGCGGTTAAAGCATATAAGACAAACAACCTCTGAAATTGTTGGGAGAATGTTGAAGGAGTGACATTCTTGGAAGAGAAAGCATGATGCACATAACTGGTGCATTTGAAGGATCCCTTTACGGTCATTATGATCAGGGATTGTATACGAAATAAAATATATCATCGTCCTCATAATGGAAAATAGGAACATTAGCGTTAGCACTGATGCTTCATTGTCACAACCGCAAAGTCATGGGATGAAGAAAAAGGAAAGGGTTGATTGTGGGACTGTTGCTACTGGCTTATCGCAAACAATCTGAATTGCTCACACCTCCAATCAGTCAGCCAGGCAACCTGGGAACTAAGGCCACTGACACTGATTAGCTGTCGTTAATCTGTAACTATTGCACAAAGTTTCGCGTCAGATAAACAATTAAGGGAGTTTTCGACAACTACACTCATTTGCAAATCAATTTGGTCTTCACGAGATAATGAACTGAATCTCTCGTTAATGACATTCTTCAACTGAATGTGCTGCATGCAGGCCGTCTCATGTTTCTGTGATATACCAAATTGATTTCCATATGAGTGTATTTCTTGAAATCAGTCCAATTTGGGCTCAATTAGAACATAAAGTTGACGGAAAATTGGGGCTTACCCCTACCTAATAAGCCTCAAGAAACCGGTCGTGGGCTGTCGAAGAGTTTTCAGCGACCTTGTGAGTAGTTTCCTTTATGAAACAGAGGGTAGTTGTACACCAGCATTGCTGAGCACACTCAACACATAGAGAACTGCCTAGGAACGTAAACGAATGTTAGGCACGTGGAGGTGGACGCTTATTAGTGAGGAATTGTGTCTCGCACAAGTGATTCGGGTCTAAAGTACAATACCTAAATAACCAAGGCACACAAGCCAATCGACTTCGAACCTTCACAATTTCATAACGCCAATCTACCATGCACTGATGATGTTATTTGGACTGGTGACACAAACACAGTACCACCCGTGCACACTCGATTCCCCCAGCTCCCCAACCCGATTGTTCAAGCACTTACCAATTGAGGCAAATCAACAGGATTTTCGAGAGAGGTGTTGAACCGGAGAACAAGTCCCAGAACCTGGCTCAAATTAATGGTTTTCCCTTAATCCAACAGTCTAATTCTTATTCACACACACTAATCAGCAAGGGTTTTTTTACTGACATTCACTTGAAGGATATGTGGCTAGTTGGTTTTCTGTCTGCTACAGGGCTAGATCAACGTGGCAATTTGATTTCCTAGCATAACGTTGCTTTTGTGTCAAGAACTTAACGTTACCAAACGTTTGTGCAATAATGATTTTGAGCTATTTTCCGATTGGTCGAGAATCGGGCCATTTATTTGGTTTCTTACGCAGGGCTAACAAAGCTTCTTACGATTACTCGTATTCGGATGAACAGATCCCTTTCAATTTCTGAACATAACCACGTGTGACCGTCTGAAGACATTTTTTCAGAACCCAGTGTTCGTAACGCTGTTTGCTGTCAATCAGAATAGGTCTGTCACTGATTCAACTCGTCTTTCGAGGAGTTGGGCCACCACGCATAAACACACCATCCAAGCGCTGCTCATCTTCACACTGTCAATCAAGCTGCCTCAGGCGTGTGATTTCAGCTGTCACATGATATTGCCCACGTTAACTTTCTCTTAGAGTGGCACGACATTATAAACTGGGGGTGCGATTATTCACTTGTGATAATTGTTGCTTGTGTTTAATCAGTAAACTGGTGGTCATCTTAATACGATCATCTTTCAAGAATGAACGTCTTAGAGAATGTCGTTTAAGAACTGGTCAGTAAACTTCCGGTCCCTAGCAGTTCTCTCACTAGTGCATATGATGCCCGTACAGGGTCATATCAAAAGCTCAATGCATCACTGGGGTTGGTCAAAGTTTCCGTCGCTTGCCCGACAAATGTGAGAAGAAACACAACCCATTATCCTTGGGACGTACCTTTCTGGAAATGTTGCTGAATACTCATCGACAGCCTCTCCATCAGCTTGGCACATTTCCTGAATTGCCGTCAATCCTGTCGCCTACTAGAGCACCAAGTTGCACGTAATTGTATTGATACAATTATTCCCAACTTAACGTGATGTCAACAGGGATCACAAGCGCCTCTCCACTGAATCTCTCGTTTGTGATAACCTGGAAGCCGATTGTGTTTGAATAGCTGACGAGATAATGTGAAATTTTATTCTGTTCTGTGCCCAAACGTACCCCGGCGCTCATGAGATTTCCGAGCGTTGAACCTGGTACACCAAGTAGGTCAGTCCGGAGTTTAGTGTGATTCGGGGGATTCGCCACGGAAGACTAGCACTATCATCTAGACCACTGGACCAGTTGATCACGGTTTTCCACACCAGGATCCGTGTGATCCTTCACACTTCTGTATTGGCTGGTTTGCGCTGAACTGCCCTGGCCGTTTTAGCTTTGGGGTTTACATTCATTTCATTCATGCCCGGTTGACGAAGCCTAATAAGGACGAAATCAATGTGTCGAAATATTAGTATTTTGTTTATTTTTGTTGAGTGAGTACCTGTTAATCTGTTCACCGAGTTTGGCAATTGGTTCACAAATATTTCGTCGCCAAACAAGAACTCGCCGTCAGTGCGCGGTCGGGTAATGATGTGTCCTCATCTTGTCGTTTGATGAAACAATTGCAAGGTGATTACCAGGTTCGTCGAAGAGTCTGACAGCCACTAACGACGAAAGACTGGGGAATCTGCAAAAGGTCCGGTCAAGTCTGTGCTCGTTCCTTGGAAGTCATCATGTCCCTCGCCCAGTCCGATGATTATTCCGATCAGACATTTTGGCTAGTTGCTAATAATTAGTTAATCATGTGGATGGGTCAAAAATTAACCCACACCGAGTTTCATACCTGTGTGTGGTGGTGTCTTTCAGCTCTAACACTTTCGGTACCTAGTTCCCATGCCACATGATAGGGTACGGGGGCTGGGTTACTACCAGGTTGCCAAAACACAGACAAGAGCAGTCGTGATAATGGGGTTGGGCTCGAACTACGTACGTTCATTTGAACCATATATATCGCATTTGGTCGGAGGGCAACTAGTGCACTGACGCTTTTTAGAAATCCGCCGCTTCCCATTTCCATAGCCCTCATTTGATCACGTGTCTCCATCAGGGTTTGAAAGTTTCCTCTTTATGTTTTATTCCTGTTCTCTTATTCTGACCGTTGAGAAACCAAGTATGATTACGAATCCAGTGTAGACTGAAGATGCATCGACTTTCAGGTTGACCCAATGTATCGGACAATTTGCTCACCTGGGATCAGATTTCTGCTCATAGCTTAACCGACAGTCCCCATCATTGACTTGTTCGCACTTGTTGGAACATGTAACATGATTCTAATCAGTCTAATGGTAAACTATGATGGCCTGGATCGGTGAGATTGGATTTCAGCCTGATCGTTCAACGTTAGCGAATGGAAAGAAGGACATGCATATAAGCTACGATCATCGTCACACTGCTGGAAACCTAAAAGATATTTGGGCACCATGTATGAAATATATCGGAGTTCTCGGCAACCTTATGAGTAGTGTATTGCGTCTACAAAATATGTCTACTCACATTGTGATTCGTTCGAATAAGTTGTGATGAGTGAACCACTTTGTCCCTGTTCGTTTTCCTAAATCCGTCGGGACGTTCGATTCGGGCCATGTTTGTCTACTACTGTGCATCAGCTGCGTAGGTGGCTAAGCCGATATTGCAGCTATTTTTGTACTGTTTTTCTTGTTTTATCAACTGAAGGAATCGGTTAAACGGTCAAAAATGAGTCGGATCAGTCGATTCCCACATACAGGTTAGACGATGCTTGCCCCAAGATGCGTGAAGTAGCATTCCATCCTAGTTGTTGATCGTCATCAAAGGGAGCGGCAAAATCCACAATGCATTATTAATAGTGTGATAATAGTTTTGTTTTTGTACACATCTGTGAAAGGTTTTATCGAGTAATACGTTGCTCTCAGCTGGGTACTGGCCAACAAAATTAGATTATTCCGTAATTCGTTCAATCTTTGGCTTTTGATTGTGTGTGTACAAATTTTGTTTTGAGTTGAAAGTGTCTCTTGGAGTAGCAGTTCGAATGTGAACCAGTTTGCACTAACACTTCTGTTTGGGGCTATCTTATCGATGTGGTTACTTGATCCTTAAACTATGCTTCGTTTCATCGCCGGCTGTGCATTTGACTGACAGGCACGAACCGCGAATGTTCTAGAATCCTCCCACATCCAGCATGCACTCGAATTCCAGAGAAGCTTATACTTGTTATTAGTTAGCCGTAGAAATGCTGAGAACGTGTGCTGTATTCAGCGTCTCAGAGTGTCTTTTTTTGCGTTACTCCGTCAGCTGCTACGCATCACTAACAAAGATCGTCAAACTCCCCTGCAACTCGGCGAAGATCTACTTCAGCGTGGTTCGCCAGACCAATTTACAGAATCTATACAACTCGGCGAAGATCTACTTCAGCATGGTTCGCCAGACCAATTTACAGAATCTATTGCCGGGTGTGTGGAGTTGGTACGACTTGCCGATAAGGTAATTAATACCAACACCACCTCTGATCAGCCAGACAAGCTATTCTCGGGTTCAGACGTAACCGAGCGCTCTTCGGTTTTACGAACGACTCTACAAGATGCAGTAGATCAGTTGTCATCTGTAGACTGGTGTCTTTCGGAATTGCGCCGCACAGTCTCAAAGTCACGAATTGGTCGCTCAGGTGGGTCGGAAATGATTTCGACGAAGCCGGTGACGTCCTCGAAGTCTAGCACATCGAAGTTGTTCACATCGGTAAGTACTTAACCGGATCACCTGGAAGATATGTGTGTTTTACATCATTTCCCACCGTGTTATGCAGCTGTTTATCCACCTCATTGATTTCCTCTGTACTTTAGAACGATGCCTCTCCGGGCAAGGTTGATACATCACGCTCTCCAGGTTTCAAGGTGACCTACAACCACGTTGCATCCAGTGGTGTTAGCAAATTAGGTGGCCTGGACAAAGATGGTTCCGGTGAGTGGCGGTTCTAGTCTGCTCTGTCGTGTCCTGTCTCATACTTATCTATATTTCAGTTGTTCCGTTCTACCGCAGTGTTTTTTTCACTTCGATTTTTACAACCGTCTCTATGTTATTTGAGTTCACTGTGTGTGTACCGTAGATAAATCTTTCCTAAAAGTGCGCACGTATGTGGCATTCGGGTTCTAGCCATTGTAGGTATTTCATAAACTACAAGCGAATGAACGTGCCTGAACACTGCGCGTTCCTGCATCGTCTTATGATTGAACAGGTTGACATGTGCTTCATTCTACCACTGCAATACGGGATGAGATCAAACCCTGAACTCCTCGTATTTTCCAACCAGTCAGTCGACATTTTAGGCTAATTCATGTTCCTAGGCAGTCACTTAAGTCCTGACGTACTGACGGAAGACAAAACCACTTCCCCAAACGGGAAGACTAGAACAGCTTTTGCTAGCCTCCGACACCTGTCTGTCTGTCAGTCTGTCTACCAGCGAAACAGTGTGCACTGCGAAAGTTCATTGGTAAATGCAGTCCATGCTGCCTCATGATCTCTACGTCCAGAAGGCCTTTCGGCCTAGAAACACCGTACAGTTGTTTCGTTCGTGTAACTGATCACCAGCAGTTTGCATCTAACAAATTTTCACTGTGATTCTTATCCGCACCCTTCCGGCCGTCAGTTGTGGTCTATTCGGCTACAGTTGCCGGATCAGCGATGTGATTTACTCGTACCTAGACAGGATGAATTAGCACTGATTCCTCAGTTCTGCGATTCACATCATGTGGTCAGGTACGGACTGACAATTTCCGTAGTTGAAGGCTTGTGCAACTTGTGAGATATTTTCATTGTCTGGCAGCCTCTTAGGTTGAACTGGAACACAGTGGCCCTGATGGCTTTCGCCTCACCGTATAAAAAGTTGATCCTTGGCTTTTCTGTGTATGATGTGGCGCTTCCTCTCCAATATGGGAGTTGCACGTCTAACTTTTCGTCGGGAACGAAACCAAGGAACGTCCGTAGCGTATTTCGTTCCAGTAGCATGTACATGTGCTTAGGCCATCGAAACTGATATTTTGTGGTGTAAGTTCATAACAACGTGCTTTTCCTGTGCCCATACAGTGTAATTCTCAGTCAGTGGTGTTCGTTTAAACTTCCGATAAAAGGACAGATACGAGCACCTCGCACTCTCGTCTATCATTAGAGTTGGGTGACCTTTGTTTTGTGCTTTCTCTTGACTACCTTACCCCAGACTGGTGTTAACTAACTCCTTGTTTGGTTCTTCATATTGTTCCTGCGGTTCTTCGCGTAAAGAATATATTTCTTAACTTCATCCTCATGTTTCAAGTCTGATTTTTGTGCTCTCAAGAGCCCGTGTATTCAACGGAACAACATAGGCTGCCGTGGACTATGATCCTCTTTTCATTGAATAGGGACTGTAAGTCCTGTAGTTAATTTAACAGTCATTGTTTAACCGCCACTCACTAAAAAAACGCAGGTGCAATGCATGTCTCTTTATAACCTACTGGAATTGCGAAATGTTTGTACAGCCTAATAATTATTCAGCAACCAATCATCGACTGTCTTTTTCTGGTGGACACGTCAATCCTTCAACACCAAACTGCTCACTCTTATTGTCGTCACTTCGAAAGGTTTTGTGCAAAAAAACCTCCATTGGTGAATGCCCACCTCCAACCTTTTCTGTCCTTGAATTGGATATTCCTGACGGTGTACATCCGGTGTCTAGTCTCCATACTCGATACCGTGCATTTTGTGCTAATGGCCACCTCACTCCACTCCACGACTATCAGTTGGGTTCCCCAGACAATCGAGTTCATTAGCTAATTTTTTCAACCCGGTATGCACCTATTTTGACCACTTTACCTGCGTCGTGTTTTTGGCCTACCTTGATCGAGCTCCGTTTACTGATCTACTTTAGAAAGAATCTTATTCGTTTGGTCATGGGACCCCGATCTTTGCCTTCTGAACAAGCGGGATTAGTTCGGTTGCTCTATGGTCACTTGTAAAAACTATGGCTTGTGAAATTTCTCGTTCTTACGTTTCTTTTGAACGCCAGCGACAACTTGCCACTGCTTGGTATTGGGCATTCCAGTATCCGATGGAATGTTTTACGTGCAGTATTTCAAGCCTTGCCGAATCTGGCATCAGCGGGCAATATCCAATTGTCTCTGTTCTCTCTCTCTCTCACAGGTCCAGGGCGATGTGGTCAGTTCAATACACCCTACGGTAATGCATTAGCGACGCTACCTCGCAAAAAAGGCCCTGCACCTCGCCCACCTTCAGTCGACGACGGACCATTAGAATTCGAGGCCTATTACGAGGTTTGTGTGTCTCATTCAACTATGATATGTTCACTGTCGTTGTGAGATAATGTACTTTGCGTGGTCTGCTCACAAGTCTTCATCCTTGGGTTTCTGGAGACTTCGCCATTTATTAAAAACTGATAGTATGGAGTTCAAGTGCCCTTTCCCAACCATTTCCTATTATGGAGATGCTGCATGTCATCCTGTGTGGACGCTTTCATGTGTACGGCAAGCTTCTGGCTGAATCCATTTCGTTGGATGATGTCAGACGAACATACTCCCAGCATCTCGGATCAGAATGCTCTCGAAACGTTCACTGACAGACGTTAGATACGCGGATAATATAGCACTTCGTGAATCAATCTCGAAAACCACACTTGTGGGTAGTCCTGTCGAGTTCGTCGACAAATCTTCTTGGACTTCCTGGTGGACCCAAGGGAGACAAAGTCACTAGATAGAGACAGCTGTCAAGAGCGTGGAATACTCAGTGGCGGTCACTCCTTGACTCCTTCATGGATGGGAGACGTAATATGCGCGCGGTAGACATCAGATGGTTCTCGATGTTTGACTTTCGGAGTCTCCCAACTTTTTCCCGGTTCAGCTGGGAACACTGGGTCGGCAATTCAGCAAGACGGTCCCTTGATAAGGATAAGTCGCCCACAGTAAACGACTTGGTCATACTTTGTGCGCCGTGCTGGTTAGATAATGTGCTCTTATATATTAGTGGGTTGTCTGAATCGCAAATATCTTTTCAGAATTGACAGAAAGGTCCAGTCTGTCAACCGGTCACGAACTGCGGAGTCTTGAGCGTTGGCCATTACTGTTCTGGAACAAGGTATAGCATTGCCAGTTGACATGGCCCAATAACACAACCAGTGGCAATCACAGTTTATCACCAGTTAGCTGTTCGGATTTCTTCTCGATCACAAAGGAGTGATAATTGGCCTTTGCTTCGAGTGCATGGCTATCACCCTGTTTTATCTGACACTGATGAACGCATGCGTAGCATCGGGGTCCAATACTCACACTCACCAGATCAGTATAGAACAGTGTGGATCAATTTTGTGCAGTTCAGTGGATATTCTGTTCATGTGACATTTAACGACCCTTGCACATTCAGCTCCTCATCCCTATTACTTACTACAACACTCAGTTAATTATTTGCTTGATGATTATCACTTTTAACCTTTATTGGTCACTTAATTGCTTTCGTTAACTGTTACTGTTATCATTCCCTTTCATTCAGAGTACTTCTACTCCTTATTCTTCGTCCACAACCGCAAGGAATGTTGCCCGACCTGGACGCCACAAAACCTCTCCACATAAAACTTCTTTTCTAGATCGTCTTCAAAGCAGTCACAGTGTTAGTACACACAGGACTGATCAGTCCGTTTCGCTCTCATCCAAACAATTGGCTCAAACGGCCACCGATACCCCTGAGTCGCCAGAGCACAATGGACAGCATTCGTCATCCGATTTAGCCCGTCTGGCCGAATTAATGCATTCCAGCTTGTGTGCGGAAACGACTGCTGTGCAGTCACGATCTGCCACAACCCATCCATCATCGCGGCCTACTGGTAAGCTACCGGGGTTAAGTCGATATGGATGCCCGGGGGCTTTGTCATTGACTAAACCTCAGGTTGTGCTACGTGGTCTTTAACGGAAGTCATCCTCTGGGAGCTGTTCAGGTGGTTAACGCATGTTTTTGGCCTTGAATTTTCCACAATTATGTGACGTAGTTTTCCTTAGCTGCGCTAAGACCTGTTGACTGATTTCTTCAATGTAATCAAGCACTTTATTTGATGCCAAATCTTCCGTGGCCGTAAGTGTCTTTTATCGTTAGTGAATTTGCCACTCATAGGCTTTCATCTTGCGATTCCTCACTCGGACGGCACATAAACGGTAGGCCCCTTTTGAGTGGCTTCCACTATTTGGATACAGTTCGGTTTTATCCAAATTCAGTCCACTAATAACCCAATCAACACTTGTGCTCTCATGTCTTTCATTGATGGTAAGACCACGTCTCGTACCATACATATTCCCTCAGTGCTTCCTGATAATTCCCCTTGCGTTTCCTGACCCTCTTTTTAGGTATGAATCAATCTCCCCGAGCCGTGGGGAAATACACCGATGGCTCCCACGATCACATCGATATTATACTGGACGTATTGGAAGAAAAACCTGATAGTCCCGTGAAGCAGTACCCGTCTTCCGTTTCACCAGCCCCACCAATTCCTCCTAAGCCAAATATTCCCAGCTCCTTATTCCAGTCCACTGCCTTACTTCGAAGTCCAGTCAGGGTAGGTGTATTACTTACAAGACCAGTCTCCCGTAGGTTTAAGTGTGCGTTCTTGCTAATTACCAAACTGCGCTGTATCACTTGCGTTACTTTCCACTTCTTGTTGAAAAAAATCGTTCAGTTTTAGCACCCTTTCGGTGTGCCTAACTGCCATGCCACCCAAAGGGAGCTCGAGGGCTGGGATACTGCCGCGTTGCCCAAGTCTAGACAAGAGAAATCGAGAGACAGAGGTCGGGTTCGAACCGCCGAACCTCCGGTCAGCGAATTCGCGTTCTAACCATAAATCTGATCCATTCAGTCTCCAAATCAGATGCGTGATTTATTCGTACTACCCTCAGGCTGACAACTGAAAGACCATCCTCACAGTGGCCGAGTCACGTGCACGGTCGCGTGTTGCACTTATGTTCGATTGTGTTGCTGTTTTTTTCGTTGTCATACTTGTCGGGATATGGGAACTTTAAAAGTCATGGTTTCTGATACAATGTCACTGATGTTTGGAAGGCAACCCACTCGTTCAACAGAATCGATGAAGATAACTGGGACAAAACGGACGTGAATAGTACCCCACGAAGGCTACACGTTACTTTTATGTCCACGGATTCGTTTATTTCCACATTTCAAATCACGAAAACTTTTAGTTCGCTTTTGAACAATTCGCTTTCATCTTGTTATGCGTCCACTCTCATGGTGTGGAACAGTTTGGTAGGGAGTTGGTAGTATCGCCTAACTTATGGGGACTTTATGTGTTCCTTCCCCCAAGCCTCTAACTTGACACGCCAGTATTTTATTCACGAAACCAATATGAAAATACAAATAACAGATATACCTTTTTATGCTTTCTCATGCTGTTTCAAAACCTACTGTGTAAACTCCACACCTCACCTTATGTTCTTTCTGAAGACCCGGACCTCTGTATCCCGGGAATATCCCTCACCTGCGAGTTCCTCACCGTGTGCTTTTCCATTGTTTGCTTTTTGATGCGTTAATGTTTCTCAACTTCTTATGCTGCACACTTGTACTACCACCTTCCAACTGCTTTCACTTGAACTGAAGTTCCCTCGACTCAAATTTTTCTACTGCGTTTGTTACTCTTTGACTTGTGGTGATACGTCCTCTCTTTCTTCCTTTGTTCGACGTGAACTGTTAACTTACACCCCATTGTGAAAGTTTGCATCCTTGACAAGAATTTATTGTCAATTACTCGATTAAAAAACTGCACTATAACCTCCGACCCCCTGTCGTCTGAATAACTACGAACAGGTCATTTTCGTGCCATTTTGTCCCTAATTTGTACCACTGGCAAAATAAGATTGTGTAATGGCTAATGAAAGTTCCGTTTTCAAGAATCTGCTGATTACTTCTGAACAAACTTCGCACTCCATCTAGATGTAAATTCCCTTTTGCATCCCCATAACCACCCATCCGTATTTCTGACAGTGTGACAGACTTTGACGGTAGTTGCGGCCCGGGTGTTTGTTTTGAGTAGGACCAGCGTGTGTCTCAGGATTGTGTAGCTAACACAGTGGCATCAGCGCGATTACCAGTTGTTTTGAGTTAGTAAGACCCGGCGCTGCATTCGTCGTCTGTCTACAGGAGATGGATAAACTGAAGCAACCATTTTTTGAACCAAATGGTATCTTCCGGTTATTCAAACGGAATGCGTGTGCACCGAAAAAATGTTTGCTCATTAAGGGAGAACAACCTGCGCACTTGCTCCTTTGAGGCTCAATGTTCCGATGAAATTACTGAAATTACAGTATTATCTCAGGTATATTCTTTTGTGCCTCCGGGATGGTCAGTTCCTCCTTTTTTCGAAGTGTGTTTTGTTTTGTGGGAGAGTATCACTGACCTGTCGAACGTGTACATGTATTATTGATAAGATAGCCGCAACGCAAGTCGGCTCCATGCGTCGGTCATCAACCGGGTAGCATTCAGCTGAATGCTTTCGATGTTTCACGTAACGTGCTTGTCGACGTGTATTTGAAACTTGGTCCTGAATGTTGTCGCATTTAAGCGCTTTTTCCGAACAGTTTCACGCACTTGCACCCCCTTTTTTCGATATCGCAAATTGCTTATGCCGTTTCCGCAAGTTTTATATCCTGTGGTTTTTATTTCCACTAACGGGAAATTCGAACATACTTATTTCGCTTCAGAGTGAAGCTTGCCCTACCGCTGACTCCGTCGACAGCCCACCTGGCGAAATCCTCCCGACCACCTTACCCAAACAGAATAAGTCCGTGCTGCCCACCACACTCCGGCTGTCCCAACCAGGCTTGTATCCAGGTAGGGCTTTCTTTCATTGTAGGTTACATATTACTACTAACAAGAAACATGTCCACTCCAATCCCACCCACATGTAAGGTTCCTCCAATGCTTGCTACCTAAACACCCATGCTGGTTTAAAACCCTGTTTATCCTGCGTCTGCCTCCCGTGCACCTTTCCATTTTGTCTAAAAAAAATCATCCGATGCTCGTAGGCGTGTTGTGAACACTGCAGCGCATGCACTTTTTCCAAACTCATTTTATTTAGGTGATCGATAGCATATGTGTGTCACAGCGGAATTCTTTGTCGGACGGGTGTATTTCCTCTGTGACTGGGTGAATGACGCCAACTGGGCGGCTTAAGCAGTCACAGTCTTTGAAATGTGATGTGCCCAATTTAATCGCCGTTATCATGTCCACACATGGTTCAGTTTGATTTGATTGTTTGGTTGCTTATTCCACTAGGACAGGTCCGCTTTTTTTACTGCCTACTACACTGCTTGTACGGAGAACGTGGCCCGCTGGTCAGACACTCCGTGTAAGCACACACAACCGTAATGGGGTCGAGACGGGTGAGGACTTTGTAAGAAGACTAGAGTATGATGAATGGTAACGGGTTCCAAAGTGTTCTTGCTCCAATGAAGTGGTAACAAGCGAAGAGCCCAGTTCGATGGAAGGATAAGGGTGACTGGAAGAACATCAACAAGTGGAACAAATGACAGCTCTTGGAAGGGGCACAACTGAGAGAAATTTTGCGGAACATTTGACGTCGTGATAATGATAGAACAAGGAATAGGACAGTCTATTCCGATGGTAGCGTTTGTGAGAATTGGGATGGTAATGATATGAATGGTTCAATCACGTGAAAAAAATACTTGGACCCGATTGGGTAATCGTCGTTTTCGAAAAAGTTTGGTGACAATCGGTAGATTTACTGCTGGAGGATGTGGAAGTTTTAAGACGGGGACTGCGACTCACACCGCAGCGGCCGAGGTGGTGCAAATTACCAAGCATCACAACGTGAATAGAATCGANGTGTGGAACTGGCAAGCGTATGGAAAGCGGTCTTAGATAAGCCAAGTTGACACGTGACGGTGTGGTTGTCAATCCACGTGGATCATCGGGAAAAACCTGAGGGAGGTGGGACTTCCAACCCGACCAAAGGTCACAGCATCCCTCTTGCACAACTATCTTAGCACTAACTCACTCACACAGACGGACAGAAGGCTTAAACAACGTTCAAGAGGGACCATCAAATGAACCGAACCAGAAGAACTAGACCCTAGGCCGGACCCAAACACATGTAAGTTTCCCTACCGACCCAACACTTGTTCAACCACTCCAACACACTAAAATCCCTCGGCCGACACCCAACAGAGATTTAGCTTGACTTAGCTGGTTGGTTCTCCTTCCGCCTTAAATCTCCACCAACGTCGGAACCTATTCACTTGGCCTGACGAAGCTTTTGTGTCAAAAGCGAAACGTTGCCCAGCAATAAATTCACGGATTGTCACAAAACTTTTTCGAAAAGATGTGAATGGTTTTCCTTTGAATTTGGTCCGAGGTTGAGAAATAAGTAGAGATAAGGTGAATCTAGGAAATATAGCAAAAAAGACGTTGGAGGCCATGAAGTACTTTCAGGAAACACTTCCCTGTGGCGACCAGTTTGAACCAGACCGGACAGTGGAGTTAGTTAAAATGTGTGAGCGCTCGAAGTAATTGCGAGAAACTGATCGCTATACGACAAAAGGGTTGGAGAAAAATAGAGCCTTACGCAACCTCTGCGTCCATATTGTGAGCTATGGGAACCCTCTTGAAGACACACATGAATTGCCCCGTTTACTCGAGTTACTTGCATTTCCACAGGACATTCTCTGGTATATCTCATATATCAGTAGTCTGAGTAGAACAACCCGACATTCCTGAAAAAAAGTTCGAAATGTCTATCGATGTTACTACGATTTCACGAGACCTGTCAGACGTGGAAGGCCAGATGTGCTACATATGCGCCATCAATTCCTCCGAGATATGATCTTGTCTGCGATTGGTGTTTATCCAATGTTCAATGAAGCTACTTTCCTAGGATTATAAGGGGGCGGGGGCGGAATATTCTCGCAATGGGCTAAAGAGTGTTTCCAGAAAACGTGAGAAGGCGGCGAACTACTTATAGGCTAGGTTACTATGACATGGTCTGGGAATACTAGGGTCGAGGTACTGGTTCAAGGTTTCTGGAACATAATGTCGTCGTCTGAGACGCCGGTAGGGAAGTTCACAAGCTGAGAGAAAACGGTCGACAATGGCAAGCATTCTACCTCACTACAATACTGAGCAAAACTAACAGGAATATTTGCGGTTCAAATCCAATCCTGGATTCTTACTTGCCTCTTTCTTAGCTTGAGCGACTTAACAGTATTCTAGCCATCGTGNCCTCGAGTATGCACCGAAAGTGTCAGAGCTTGGTAATCCTGTTCAGAGGTAGTCTAAGTCGTTATGAGTGCCAAGTTCAACAGTGGCTTTGTGTTGGAGATTTTCAGCTATCTTCATACACATTAAGAACGAAAGTTTCGGCACCCCATTGTCGTTGAGGGAGCGGTGAAGATAACATAAATATCTCCAACTTCTTGTGAAGGACGACGCCTAGGGGAGGCTGGTGCGCAAATAACTAGGGTACCACAAACCGTAGTCAGCAACTGTTCGTTACTGAACTTATGACATACTGTTTTCACCTCTTTGTATTCCATGTAACCGTAGCTTACAATGGAGTCCGTGACAACGCGTAGTCTCTTTTCATAGTTCCTTAAAAGCACGATTAGTCCATAGGATCGTTCTAACTGGCAAATTTCTGGTAAAGCCACAATCACCACTTTCGAGCCCTTTGTGGATGATCGACGTTTGGTTTCGTCCTTTGTAATGGGTGATTGTAGCTTCCTCTGATTAGTTCCTATGAATGGCGTGCATATTGACCACGGGAGCGAATGCAACGCTTCTCGCCTTCTCGTGATAATAGTGTGGAACAGCGTACTCCGAGGTCACAAGTGCGCTGTGCAGAAACGCATCTGACGGTACGTTTGACCTTCAATATTGTTGTTGGGCCACGACTAACGTTATCATCTGTCTGATTAGCGACTTTCTTTTTCATGTTCGATAGTCCTCTCCTCAAGCGTGTCGCATAGTTATGGAACTCTTTTCATTAAAACAATCCAGATAAACCCCTTGGCTCCTCGTCGATATCACATCCCCCCAGTTGTTCTACTGATTCTGGGGACCAAAGCGCGGTAAACCCGAAAGACTTTCCTGTCGCAGACACTAAGCTGGGGGCCTTGCTCGAGGCAATCTATGACTGTGACGCGGAGCACGCGGACGAGCTAACATTCCGACGTGGAGAGGTCATCCAACTGGTGGCTCGATCAGATGATGAGTGGTGGGTAAGTCATCGCAGCAGGAAAGCACGTATTGCTGATAGTTGGTCTCCCTGTTTTGTGCTTTATCATCCCAATGCGATGGTGCTCACAGCTGTATAGAACCCCCTATCATGAGTGAAAATATTGACTATACACTGTTCATTTCATACACGGGTTTAACTCAGGTCAGATTGGATCGCAAACTTGTCCTCTTTTTGTGGTGAGGGCGTGTGGCTTCTCCAGCTTGCCGTGTTGTGTGAACGGTTTTGAAAGTGAACGGTGGATGCATGGTCGTGATATGATCCATTCAGGGTGCATGCAAGCTGCCGCGATATCCATCAGTCTGCCGTACGCATCTACCGTGCTTGCTCACCACAGTGGGAAGTTCGGATTCTCTGGGATTTTTCGCATCGATGAAGGTTAGATGATTAGGTTTCACGGAGTTGAGGGTCTACTCATCACAAAAGCGGTTGACGATAAAAATCCTAAGGTAGAAAACAAAACAGCAATTAAGTTGGAAAGGGTGTTCGATATTGGGTCCTTGCGGTCTTCAGTTAAATGGGGTAACGAGTTAAAAAACGGAATAAGTGAATTTCTTTAAACAGAAGTTCGAACATGCACATGTTCGAATACTTTATTGTTATGGCCGCAGTATATTACTAAAGAGAGATAACCATGCTGCGGGTAAATTGAGTCATTGGCTATTAGTGAACGGAATTGTGAACAGGCAGAAGGGAACGCTGAGCCTGGTAAAACCGCCGCTACGCTACACTGACGATTTCACATTGATTGTTGATGGAACCTCTGCAGCGAAATTGCCAGGTTTTGCGAACAACTTTCAGCAACTGAGCAACATTTGTTACCAACCTCCTGCCACCAAACAAG